GGGGTCTTCTAAAATGGGGGTGGGGGTTAGGACAATGAGATATGTATATGCAGAAATCTCGAAAAAAGATGATTTTTTTCATGTACCTTGTACTAACGATTGGTTCATTTTTATGATGGCGCTTTTCTGCTGTGAATACATCTACTTGGAATGTATTTCCAGTAAAATTTTCAAATCAAACAGATGCTTCTTCACTGAAATATAAGAGACCAAAATAATGATCAAAAGTATACTTTTTTGATCATAGTGCGTTGAAAAAAAACAATATCTGAGGAAAGGAGAAATATTTTTCAAAACGACTTGCGTCACTATTCCTAGAACTGTTGCTTCTACCATTCATCTCAAATTGAGACATATATGACTGCATCTATTGAACACAGTCGGTCGTGGCTTACATGCGATGACTCTCAAAATCTCAACAACAAGAATGGCATAGATGTCGGGGAAAGAGAAAAATATGAAAATTTTAAAAGGAAAAATACTTCTAGCTAAAGAAAAACAGCCGAAAGTCAGTTACAAACAGTAGAAGAGAAAAATATTGAATATGATTTTCTTTTTCGTTCTCTTTTGATTATACACTTTAATTATTCGCAGTATGCATACATTTTTTTGCGATTTTCTTCTGTGTAATCATTGTGCTGTCAACCCCGCTTCAATAGGTTCTTTCACCAACGCCGAATAAGTAAATAATCTGAATTGGCACTCGTATTTTACGAAAAAAGCGTAAGTAATGTGCAGTCGAGTCTTGCTAAAGCCGATTTATATATTTTTTATTTTCGGTATTTTTGGTCTACCCAATTCATATTTTCTCGTTACATTTTTGAAATTTTTCTTTGCTGGTTTGAAAGTTTCGAATAAAGTTTTTGTGCAATTCGCTAGCGTTTGATAAGAGACATTTTTTATGTTTGCTTGAGTAATAATGTACCAAACGACGACTTTATTTTACATTAATAACTAAACGATCACACTTTTTTAGTACCTACTAACACGTAAAATATCCTATATTGTTGTCATTTTTCGAAAAACAATTCTACATTCTTGAGATTTTCACCCCGACATTCGCGACATATCAATTTCAGTTTTGCCAATTTCTAGAGGTGATCGAAATTTGTGCATCACTGTCGGAATTCAATAAAGATCGTAGCACTAATCCCGGCAAAAATTTTCGAATATAATGCCAACTTTACTTGGACATACATTGAATGTACTTTATTCTAGGTAAATAATTGTTTAAGATGTCGAAAGCAACAGACAAGCTAATCAGACTCGTCCAAAAAAAGGCTGGTGAGCAATATTCAGTGGGCGAGGCGCACCAACTTTTGCAACAAGGTGCAGATATCAAAGCTCTTACTAAGACTGGTTCCATGATTGATTCTGTCATTGCCGAAGAAAAGCGACACCGATCAATTGGATCACCGAAAGCTGACAACTGTCTACATTTGATTCAATTGCTGAAAAAAAGCGCTTGCGACCAACTCAATGAACAAGTGTTCTCCATAGGCGGTGGGGATATCAATGAAATGCAACAGCTAGTGCAGTTAAAGGCCAGTTGTTACCAAGCAGAAACGTTTGGGCCGTTAGGTTTGTTGGGCTCATTAGTAAATCAAGACAAAATTCCCATTCGAATTGAAGTCGTCCAGTTTCTGGTCGAGTACGAACCAAATGGAGAATGTGGTTTGACGATCGTCGATACTCAACAACAAACATGCTTGTCTCTAGCAAAAAAAAATCCAAAATGCCCAAAGGATGTTATTGATTATTTGCAACGACAATTTGATATGATTTTCAATCAGATCCCATTCACTAAGCCACATATCAATCCAAACGAAGCGATTGGGTGGATTAGTCGAGGTGCCAATATGGAAGCGACAGATAAGAACCGAAATACTATCCTTTCTAACGCTGTCATGGCTAATAATTTGGAACTCACTCGTGCTCTTGTATCAGCTGGCAGTAATACTGCACATAGAAATAATGAGGGTCTCACACCTTTGCAAATTGCTAAGAAAGCTATACCAAGAAATCCTCCATTAATAGCTATTCTAGAAGAACAAGGTGTGAATGTTGAATTGAAACGTCTGATTGAAACAAAAAAATCACATTTGACAACGGATGAGGTACACACTTGTCTGGACAATGGAGCTAATATTAATGCTACAATTGCAAATAATGATTCACTTCTACAACTTTTGATAGCCAATGATGGCACGCCAGAAATGATAACTGCTTTCGTCAACGATTTCAATGCGAACATATCAACAATAAACATAAACGGATTTCGACCCATCGAAACATGTATTATGTTGGATAAAGATCCATTTGTTCGTTTACTCGCTTTTTTAAAATTGCCAAAAATGACAACAGATTTATTCACTAATTCAAAATTGAACAAGACTCTTCTGCAATTCGCCATTGATCAAAATCGTCCTGGAGCAGCAAAACTAATCCAACATGAACTGAATTTTCGTTTATGGAACTGTGTGGCACATGCTAACACTAAAGAGGAAAACAATAAAACTATTATCAACGAACTGAAGCAATTGATCAATTCTGGTGCTCAGATCAATTATAAGCATCAAGACAGTATGTATCAGAAATGGACAGTATTACATTTTGCATGCAAAACAGCCACAAAATTACTTGTTCAATATATGATCGAACATTTGAAAGCTGACTACACGTTAAAAAATCACAGTGGCGATTATCCGATTTCTATTGCAGCTGAATACGGTCATCTAGCAATTGTTGAATATTTGCATGGTTTGCCTAACTCAAGTTTGAACGTATTTAATAAAGACCAGCAGACACCTCTGCATTTGGCGACGAAAAATCATCATTTGCTTGTTGTTCGATATCTTGTGAAATGGGGTGCTGATTATCAAGCTCAAAATCTATCGAAACAAACTCCACTAAATATAGCACGAGCAAACATGTCAAATAGCAAAGAAGAAGAAATGAGTGATAGAAAATTGATTCAATTTCTTGAGCAATTGATTTGTCCCCCAGTAGATAGTTCAGTTAAGCAGATAGCTAGCTCAAGAAAACCAAATTATGATATTGACACATGTGAATTAGTAGCACCAGTAGACATCAATCCTATTCAGATGATCACTGAGGATGCTGAAGGAGCTTTGGGAAAACTCAGTAAAGGTATTCTTGCTGGGACGCCGAACAATAACTTGCATGACGCCGCAAAACATGGAGCCATCTTCGCAGCTCAACAAGCTATTGCTCAAGGAGCTGATATTCGCCATCGAAAAGGAGGTCGTACTCCATACGAAGTGGCACAAATGTCAGCACAAGAATACACCATTAAGTTGAATGCACCATCACTAAATTTGGAAAAGCGCTCACATGTGCAAAATATGCTAGTCGGCTGTCAACAAATTGCCGATATTATTCGAAAGATAGCACAAGAAAAATTAGTTGCAGCTATCAGTCAGTCGGATGCAGGCCTTGTCGTGGCGTATCATCTTTCGGGAGCACCACTTACTGCTGATTTATTGCACAGAGCTTGTAATGCATCTGACAATGTCGAAATTGTCGATTATCTTCTTAACCAAAGTATGGATATTTATCAGGCTATGATCAATAATGCGTGGCCTGATTCTCTATATCGAACTGCAAAAAAGAATAAATTTAATAAAGTGGCTACCTATCTCAAATATCGGTTATCAATGGAATGTACAAAAGCTATAAAAGAAAATAATCTTGAATTAGTCAATAAGTTGGTACGTAATGGAGCCAGTGTCGATATGCACAATACAAATAACATACAAGAAGCACTAGAGCATCAAAACGCTAAAATGATTCAACTCCTCTGTCAGAATGGTGCAAAAATGCCATCAGAATGGCTCACCGCAAAACATATCGTGCTGCCACCAGCTGTGTCTGAACAGTTAAAACCCGAGACCAGCTTTCATATTAATCGATGTCTAATCGGCCGGCGACTTCGTTTTGCAGCTGCCAGTGGTGATTTAGATGGTGTGATTCAATGTCAACGTCTTAATGTTGACATGAATTCAGCTAATTGTCGTGGTTCAACAGCGCTATTATGCACAATTCAATACGGAAACTATTTTCCAATCGTTCATGCTCTCGTTTCACGGGGGGCATCAATGTTACATTCAAATGAAGATGAACCAATGTCATTGATTGATCTTGCAACAAAAAAGAACTATAAACAAATCGCTGACTATTTGACCAAAGAGTTAAATCTACAATTTTTGTCAGCAATTCTAAACAATGATCAAAAAAGTGCAGAGAAATTTGCTCAACTGGGCGCAGATTTCAACTATCAAGACGAACAAAGACGTACGGCATTGCACTATGCTGTACAATATCATGGCATTGAACTTGTCACTTGGCTATGCGAATGTGGTAGTGTTCCAACAATGTCTGACATCAATAATGATTATCCAATAATTCTAGCAACTGAAAAAGGTAATCGAGTCAGTAACTTCGATGAAAAAGTACTAAATGAAGAAGTATTCACCAGATGGATTCTTGATTCCATAGCAGTCGATAATCTATCTTAAGAGAGAGTTCTTGGTGTGAATATGAGTGTTCATACATGACATGATTTCGCCTTCTTCCTCTATACCTACACTCAAAAGATAGGTTTTCAACTATTGTTTCAATCTTTGTATGACAAAGTCTATTTCATTATTCATAATTTTAGGTGATTTTGCTATCGTCAAGTATTTTGTAACAAAATATCCAGCAACAAAAAGACAAACTAATAAAGCTGGCCTGACTGCTTTACAAATCGCACAAAAACTCAAATTTACAAGGATTGCTGAACTAATCGTAACCGGAAAAGACGTACCTGAATCTTTAATTGATGAAGATAATGCTGAGCCTAAGCATAGTTATGAAACACTGAAACAAGCATCCCGAGATGGTAAAGTCAAAATTATCAAAGAATTCATCAAGGAACGGTACGAATCGAAAGAGGACAAGAGACGATTATGCTATGAATTGATTCAAATCGCTAAAAAAGTCCCACAATATGAAATTGTAGATATTCTTGAGCCCTATTACAAAAAAGAGTTAAGAACTGAAATTGCATCAGATATGGAAGTAGGCAGCGCTGTTACATTGAATAGTCATTATAAGAAAATCTTGCTGGGATTTTTGAGTGGTCTAAGTAGTGTTATTGCCGATAGTCCAGTTGTGCTTGATCCTAGTGATCCCAATACGTACCGAGATCTTTTCTCTGATTTGACTTCGAATGTAAGAAAACGTTCACAAGAATTACAGCAAGTCACTGATGAGCAAGATGTAAAGAAATTGATTGCACAAGATTCAGCGAATACAGAACAACAATTAATAAAAATTAATGAAACATTAGAACAATTGTTGGAGAATAAAGAGTCTTTACAAGCTCGTATTGAAGATACCGAGGGGCGTGTTTTTAAACAGCAAGATCTAACAGCTTTACAACGAAAAGAACTTATTCAAGAGAGAGAAGCTCATAAGCAACAATTGGCTACGTATGAATGCTCAATATTTTTATTTCAACGTCAACAGGAGGCTATGTTGATAAGACAAAATATGATGAAGTTCATCAAAGGCAACACAAATATGACACTGTTCTATCGAACAATTGAAAACCGTTTGCAGGCTTTGTTTGTCAGTATTCTAGCGGCACAAGGCGGTCACGTGAAAAGGGAAACGGCAACCGTTAATACGATGTCAGCAACCATTCCTTTCGGTAAGTACGATTGTATTGCTATCAATTTATAATGAGGTAAGAGTCCCCACCCCGCCCCAGCGCTTTAACTAAAAAATTCTTTTTTTTTTTTACTAATAATGAAGGTGTTTATGTTGAAAGTTAAACAGATGGAACATACAATTCGGATCGAATAAAAGTTCATACTGCTAAAACTAACAAGATTAAAATACTAGCGAAAGCTGACGTGTCTAGAAGGAGATGTTCGAATTTTACTGTATTTAAAATGCATGGAGGATGCCCATATTTCAAAATTATACTGAAATTTTGCACTTTTCACAATGGTATTTGATAGAATAATTAAAGTTAAATTGTGGTATAGTTTGAGGTTTATTCTCTTTCTGTAGCGATTCTAACGTAAGAAGTTTTTGGGACACAGCGAAAGGAAGATATGAACTAAATACAATCTGATTCATCTTCTAGCGAATCTAGTGATATCTCACATAAAATCAGCACTTATTCCTACTCTATCAAAACTTAACGAAAAAGAACAGAAGCAAGCATGGGCCAATATTTCAACTTTGGGCAATTTTGAGGAACTCCAGCGGATTGCATCCGACACAGCCGGCATGGTAACACTCTACTACAGAGAACAAATTCAGTCGATTGATCCATTCCAAAAGATTAAGAGCAGTTATGTGTTTAATTACAAAATCAAATGGATCAAAGAAATATTTTACGATGCCCGTTCAGAGAGTAATGAAGAGATGGCAGTTACTATGGTTGCTGAATATGTGACCGCTTGGATAATCGATGCTCTCAAGGCGGGCAAAACAGAGATCGACACGTTTGAATCTTTGCCACAACAACTTTGGCTACATATAGCTAAGAAAAATACAGTTGATCAAGAAGCAACCACAAAAGCAACAGATGTTGTTGAACATTCGGCCGGAAAGCAAAAGATTCCTGTGAAGTTCAGAAATTCATTGGACAAAGAATACACGGTACAAGTACCATTACGATACCTAATCGGCTGTGTTTCTGTTTTTGGTAACAATGGTAGTATTTATCAATGCCCAATAGCGAAAATTTCTTCCAATACTGAACTCCATGATCTGGAAATATTCCGCTATGTCTATGTTGCACCATTTTCATCCGATGAAAAAGTATTTCAATCGATTGTTGACGAACGAAAACTGCACGTAGCTGGATATGATAACCTTGGAAATATTTTAACAAGATTCGAAGATATTATTGAGCATGCACAAGCTTATGTCAGCGGAAATGATGAACATGCTAGCAAATCATTAATCACAAAAGAAACGGCTAATCAAGTAGCCGAAGTACTTCGTGAACAAAAGATCTTCGTCGATGCCAAAGATGTTAAAGGAGAATTGAAAAGAGCACAAGAAACCATTGAATTAAGTATTGATGTTTTACGTGAAAATATACAAGAGCAAACAAATTTCTATGAAACATCAATCAAAGCTGCTCATGAACAAATTAAACTAGAATCGATAACAAATAGAGAAGAAATGAAAAAAGATAATGAAATGCACTATGATCAAGGATGGAAAAAATTGAATGAAAAGTTGAAAGATATTGAAAAACATCTAAGCCAACAAATCGAAAAACGTGTGAACGACATCGAACAAGAAATGCGAGAGAAAACTAAAGAAATTATAACAATTGCTGAAACAGCAAACGCTCAATCGTTTCAAGCAACTAGACACGCAACTCAAGCAACTCAAATCAGCGAAAAATTGGCACAAGACGCAGCACAAGCTGCAGTCAGTGTTCAGAATTTAGTAGAGTCAACCGAACAACGACGCCAAGAACTTCAGCTCACAGCCAATCAATGTGAAACTACAGTAAAGCAAACGGTTGCTACACAAAAAGAATTCTACGAACGAATGATCTTGGAAATGCGTACAAAACTCGAACGTGATGTTGAACGTGCGAAAGAAGCAGCCCGCGAATCTGCTGCGACTGCTAAAGAATCAGCACGAGCTGCTCAAGAGTCAGCATCATATGCGCAAGAGGTTCAAAAGATAACAAAAAATCAACTTGAAGTTCAGAGGAGAGAAACCGAGAAGATACTTGCAGATGTTAAAGAAATGCGGCAGCAGAACGAAAGAGCAGTGCATGATGCTCGAGAAGCTGAAAAACAGGCAAAGCGAGCCGCAGATGTAGGCACAACAGCACTCGAAAAAGTAGAAAAATTAACAAGAAAAGTATAATGAAGACCAGAGAATGAACATATCTGTTTTTTTTCGAAATTGACTAATTGTATTGCTTATCCTATTTAGTTTGAAATAAAAATCTATCTATCTAAATAAAATTTCGGGATGACAGCTCGAAACAATGAGATGGGCTAGAAATAATGACAAATGAGTCAGTAATCCTTCTTCAAGAATTTTTCCACTAGATGAAAAATTCATTATGCGTTCAGAGATAACCACATTTGACTTAAATAAATCTGGATGATATCAAATAAAAAGTAAAAATATCTATGCTTACTAATATATAGAGGCATTATTCTTACATCATTTTGTTCTAGCACTTCAGCAATATTAAAAACATTACTAACATCTGGTAAAGGCACAAAAAAAATATAATGAACATTAAACTTTTCTGGAATTGCATTTATATTATTGACTTTAAAAGCAGCTAAAGAATAGTTTTTCTACTCTTGATAATAATATATAAGTACATCACTGCATTGAATTCAATTACATGTATACCAATGGCTGCCGGTAATTCAAATATATCAGTGTGAATCAACTATCCTTGCTAGATCTTCATACATCTCTTTCTTCCACAGTACATCACAAAGTCCTGAGCAGCTATTCCGTTAAAAATCATATCTGGTGTTAAATTGAAAAATAACGTTGATGAACAAACTAAAATATTCCAAAATCTATTTTATGTTTCATATGTTAATCTTAGAGAAGTGATATTCACATCGAGGAGTATAACAGTTCTCAGATCTAAGTTCAGATCAAATGAGCGAAAGAACTGTTCGAGTAGATCAGACCTAAGAACTGTTACGATCTACACTGGGATGATGTCTATATCGATATAGGCGTCTCTTATGGGATCTGATCTAAGGAACCGTCTGAACAGTTCTTTTGATAGGAACTAAAACTGAACTGTCATACCCACATTCACATCTATTATTGTGTAGATCAAATAGCGTTAAGATTCGCTACAAAATTCATAACAGCTCTGTAGTATTTTTTCTTCCGTACTTAGAGTGGTTAAGAAAAGCAGTCATGAGGATACTGTGTTAGAATAAATTAAGAAAAAATAAAATAAAAAAAAACTTTTCTGTCTAGAAGAATCATGATATTATTTCAACTAGAAAAAAAGAAATGGTAAGCACGTTCATCATGATCAGTTAAATCATAACTATATGTTATTTCTTGAATATAAATTCAAGGTAAGGCACATTTATTTTGGATATGGAAGAATGTGATGTCTATCACTTAAGTTGATAGATCAACAAATGATGACTAAAGGAAATAAACAGCAACGGAAATCGTTAGACAGGAAATAGATGCAAGAGCATCCAAGGAGCCTGGAAAACAACAGAGTTTATAAATGTTAATAATGCTTCTATGAAACTATAAGGTCAATATTATGTAAATATATATAAAGCTAAACTTGACTCAATCACATAAATCACAGGTACAGGAATGACCTGTACAATGTCATATGATTCTTTTATTTCGCTCACTTCTTCTTCATTATTCGAACGAAATTTCGAACATTGTTAAATCAGTTTCCGTCGAGATCGTACTTAGAGTAGCACATAATCGGAACTAATTAGAACAAATTAATATTTTTCTTCTCGCACTCACTGTTTAGGTCAAATTCGATTAGGATCTACACATACCCCTTTTCTTAAATTTCAGCACGAACATAGTATCTATCCTTCGAGATTGATTCGCTCTCTTGAGTTGTTATTTCTCGCATTCTTCCCTCCCACTTTTTCTTTCTCTCTCGTCTTTGTCGTTACTGTTTTTAGCTTTTGTATTTCAGTGACTTGCTACAATGACACAGACGCATGGTGGCTATTCTATTCAATTACGCCGCGATATTACTGTTCTTCTAGATGATTCGTTCATTTTCTTCTTCTCGTTGGCGTCTATTAGTAAGAATGGGTCGCCAGCCTGAATTAGCATGTCATATCTCTTATTATTCGAGATGCATAGCTATCTATGACTGTTAATATTGTAAGTAACTTAAAGATTAAATCTTTATATGTTGATAAATTCTATTTCGTTCATGTGTAAATGCAAAGGTATATAGTAAGGTCTGAACTGTCTGTCGAATAGCGTCATCTATAAATAGATGTAATCATAATCTAAACTAGAATATTTTTTGTTTGATTTACTTCAAATTTTGTGATTAGTAAAATTTTCGTGTTTTTGATTCTTTTTGTTTCTTATTCATTATCGAAAAGATTTATTGGCTAGTATGAATCAATTGATCAACTGTTAATATTAATCACTGGAGCGTTTTACATGCACATTTTTTTCACTCCACACTAAACGTTTTTTCTTATCATATCTCGTTTTTTTCTTCTACTCTTCAAGTATTCAACCATTTTGATCGATAAGAATAATAAGTACAGTCGTTGTTTCAAGATTCTCTAGTTGCCGTTTGTTTTTCCTACTTTTGTTTATACTAACGGAAATGAAATATAAACGAGAGGATGTTCATCAATACCGTTTTTCTGTTTTTCGAACATGAACTAGAAAATAAAACCATAGATGCATGCAATATTATATATATTCTATATTTCGTAGCTTGAGTATTCTCGTTTTTTTGTGTTGTTTTTAAGTATGCTTTTGGTATTCTAGTTGAACAACGAGAAAAGAAAATAGAGGAGATAGATCGATTGAGAATCGACGATCTTTGATACCCATCAATATGCATTAGTCGAATCGTAGGAGATGTCGTGTACGAAAAACAGATCTCTCCACATCGTGTCATTGTCAATCGAGAGAACAATCGATTTGCAAGACAACAATACCAAAGAAAAAGAACTGCTACTATATCGTTTGCTTGTTTTGTAATGTTTCTTCTTCTTCTTCTTCTTCTTCTTCTTCTTCTCTATATTAATAACTAAATATTGTTGATGGGGGATAAGGAGGAGAACAGCGATAGTTCGCACTCATTCGATCTCTCGTGGATGATGTGAAAAGAAAGCAAACCATTTCTAGCTTGGCATACACATGGAATCAAGCTCGCATAACAACAACAACAACAACTATAGAATCGGCGACGATGGAAAAACAAACGCAAATATTATATAAAAGAAAGCTTATTATTTTCCTTCGTTTTCATTTCTTTCTTTCTTTTTCTTGCCGCTGGATGAAAAAAAGAAGAAAAAAGAAACTTGATGATAAATGAATTTCTTTTTCTGGGTGTCGTCGACATATCTGTCCTGCACACAAGTATTCAACAGAAAAGAAAAGAAGAAGGAAAAAAAAGAAATAAAGCAAAAGCACATCGTTTCGTGTCCGCGTAAAAAGAAAAAACGGGAGAGAGGGAGAAACAGAAAGCAGGAAATCTATTTTCATGCCCCAATGGCCGATATGTGGTTCTGCATCACTCTCTTTTCTCACTTTTAAAAACGCATATGCAGGTATCCTATCGATCGCCTTGTAAAGGGACACAATCTCATATATTATAAAACGTATAATTTTAGATCTATTTTGTTTTTATTTTGTTGTCTTGTCATGTTGTTTTATCGATCATTTAAACAAAGTTTTTCAATGATATTAAAATGTATGACAACATCTTCCTGATACGAAAATAATGGCGACAAGTACAGCAATACCATCTAATATTATTTCTACTTCCTCTTCACCCAATAAAACAGCAAGTCTATCATCATCACCACCCACAACAACAACAACCACCACTGATGCAACAATACCAATGCCAACTGTTGAGCGTATAATGAAAAGTAAGCATTGAAACAATATCTAGTTTTTCATGAATAGAAAATTCGATATAAATTTATTTAGCCATTCCATGTCCACCAAACGCACGTTTAACAGCTTATGATGTATTCGATGCACGTGGAAAACCTCGCGTTGATGTATTAAAGACACATTTTATATCAGAAGGACGCGTAACTGAAGATGTTGCACTTAAAATAATTGAAGATGGTGCAAAATTATTACGACTAGAAAAAACTATGGTCGACGTTGAAGCACCTATAACTGGTATAACGAAATAAAATCATCATTCGTTTTGCTTGATGTATTTCATTCTGTTTTTTCTTCTTCTATGTGATCAAATTTTAGTGTGCGGTGATGTTCATGGACAATATTTTGATTTAATGAAGTTATTTGAAGTTGGTGGTTCGCCAGCTACAACTCGTTATTTATTCCTTGGAGATTATGTTGATAGAGGTTATTTTAGCATTGAAGTAAGAAACTAGTTGATCTCATGTCAAATAAATTTGTTTTCTTACAACTCTATTTCTTCTAGTGCGTTCTTTATCTATGGTCAATGAAAATTCTCTATCCATCAACACTTTTTCTTCTTCGTGGTAATCACGAATGTAGACATTTAACGGAATATTTTACTTTTAAAACAGAATGTAAGATAGCTAATTCAAAAAATTTTCTTATCCTTATATTTGTTTATCTTCTATTCAGGTAAAATAAAATATACAGAACGTGTATACAATGCATGTATGGAAGCATTCGATTGCTTACCACTTGGTAAGACCTAGTTATTAAATTAAAATCCTATTCGATAGAATACTTGGAACATAGTCTAAACTAATCAGATAAACGAGTTCAACTGTCTCGGAATTGAATGCGTTCTGTGAGAAGAAGGAGAACCAGAAGAAAAAATAAACGAGACGATGCTGACAAGGGAAGTCCCCGAACTAATTAATTTGTTTTGAGTGAAGACCATGTTCAACATGAAAATACTAATAAGCGATGAATGCTGTGAAAATTATTTGAATTTCTAATGTTGATTGAGAACGGAGATCGAATATTTTATAGAAGAATTTCTGATCTAATTGAAAACTTCGTTGTAATTCGAGTAGAAATAGAAACAGTTCGTTTATACTTATCGATGAAAATGTCATTGATACTAATAAATCATTCGTTTGTATTAAGGTTTATGACTTTAATCTTCAACGGTTGATCTTTATTGAATCTATTCTATTTCTTCTAGCTGCTCTTATGAATGGTCAATTCTTGTGTGTTCACGGTGGTCTTTCACCAGAAATTCATACGCTTGAAGACATAAAAAAACTCGATCGCTTTAAAGAACCACCACCATATGGACCAATGTGCGATTTACTATGGTAAATATCACTAAACAATCAATGACTTTTATAATCAAACTTTAATTTAGGTCTGATCCCTTAGAAGATTATGGTACCGAACGAACAACTGAACAGTATAGTCACAATACAGTGCGTGGATGTTCGTATTTTTATAGGTTTGTTAATATCGAAAATTCTTTGAATAATATCTGTAATAAACGTTTTCTCTAAACGAATAGTTATGCTGCGTGTTGTGATTTTTTACAAAATAATCAATTATTATCCGTAATTCGTGCTCACGAAGCCCAAGATGCAGGGTAGATACACACATAGTTTTCTCTTGTTCTATGAGTTTATTTATTTATTTTCTAAAAATTAGTTATCGTATGTATAAAAAATGTCAGAGTACCGGTTTTCCAAGTTTGATTACAATATTCTCTGCTCCAAATTATCTCGATGTCTACAATAATAAAGCTGCTATACTCAAATATGAAAATAACGTGATGAATATTCGTCAATTCAATTGTTCACCTCATCCTTATTGGTTACCGAATTTCATGGATGTATTTACATGGAGTTTACCATTTGTTGGTGAAAAAGGTAATTAGAGAAGAACTGTTTTTTGACTTTCTTCGACAACAAAACGTGAATCTTTGTTTTCAGTTACTGAAATGCTCGCTAATGTTCTTAATATTTGTTCGGATGAAGAATTACAACCTGATAATACAGAACCTGATGATAGTATGTTGATAATTTATTTATGATATCAATATGTAATCTTTTGTATTTTTTCTTTCTTTTGTTCTAGTTGATATGACAAGTGAAGGTAGGTTGAATAGAAAATATTCTCCAGAGTATGATTGCATTTGTTCATTTTTTTAGCCGCACTAGCGGCACGCAAAGAAGTGATACGCAATAAAGTACGAGCTGTTGGTAAAATGGTTCGCTATTTTGCAACATTGAGGTAAATTTTTCAGAATTTTTTCTATTTTAAATAAATTCTTTTTCTCTTGCGTCAGGGAACAAAGCGAGGATATTCTAACATTAAAAGGATTAACACCAAGCGGTACACTACCATTGGGTACACTCGAAGGTGGTAAAATGGCTATTGATCAAGGTACTAGAAAAACAGTCTAGATTTAGGTTCAGTTAAATTTCATTTTTTCTTTCACTCATTTTAGCAAAACAAGTAATTGCTAATAAAAAGAAAATATCATTCGAAGAAGCCAAACGCTTAGATAAAAGTAATGAAAGTATGCCACCATGGCAACAACTTCATCCTTCCTCGTCCGGCCTTACATCGGGTATTGGTTCAAGTGGTACAGCATCGTCGACTAGTGGTTCATCGTCACCACGGATTGTCGGAACTTCAGCTGTGCCATCGATGCTCGTGTCCTCAGCAGTCTCATCAGCACAACCAGTTAATACGTTAGCTGATGCATCGTCAGGTGTGACAACAAATTTGCTAATGGATTCGACAAATACAAACTGTAATGGTAACGATAAAACACCCGGAAAACCTACAAATCAGCAATCGTCACAGCATCGAACGAAGTGAAGATAAATTATTTAGCAGTAGTCTTTTTTCTTCTCTCTCTTTCCTAGCGTGAATTATTTGCGTTCACTGATATAAATACTTTTTTTTTAGGGAATGCTGATGTATTCTATCAGCAATTCCATTTTCACATTGTTTTTTCTTTCTTTTCTTTTTATTTGTAAAAGGTTGAAGGACTACTTTTTCCTCTTTCGTTTCTTATACGCGCATCTCTAACTTTTTCGTGATAAACTATAACATTTTCTTTTGTCGTCAGTGAGATGAGTGTGTGAGTATGTCTGAGAACGAGTGTGCCTCTTTGTATTAGCCATATTTTTCTTTAATGTTGTTCTGCGCTATGCTTGCGTCCGCGTTTTTGTTTTATTTTTTTTTCGTTTGCTTCATACTTTCCACGATTACAACCAGCAAGATCGTTTTCTTTTTCTTTATTTGTCTGTTCGTTGTCAGCGATGAAATTCGTACGTTTCTTTCCCTGTCTTTTTATTCTGTGTCAAAAACAGCATGACGACAATAACTCAAAAAAGAAAAAAAAAGAGCAGCGCATGATCAACTGGTTGTACAATGAGAAAAATAGAAATGTTTTTTTTGTTTTCGTTGGACAATTATCAGGATAAATTAAATTGTTAAAACATTTCATGTTTTTAGGCAAAGAAGAAAAAAAAATGATTTTATGAATTTTTGTTTTGAAGCTTTATAAGAGTCGTTTGATGAAAGACTAATTGGTTCTATTGGTATTCTTCTCATGAATTGATAATTTTTTGATTCTCTTGCTATTGATGCAATCAAGCATGTTCATCTAACAAAATTTTCTTAGTTGACATACATACTAATGATATGTCAGATAATATTTGCGCGATGAAAAAGTCAAAAGCCAGTTACGCTTATATTTTAACCGTAGCAATCATTTTTTTAAATTTATTATGCGCATATATTTTTTGATATCGAATACGATACAGGATTTTGTTTCATGCAACGGTAATCTATTTATAATGTAGCGTATCGTTTTGACATTTATCGTAAGTTGCCGTTGTCATATATAAAGGACGAGAAAAAAAACAGCGCATTACGAAATTTATCGGAACGAGTCTACCTATTTTGTATAACAAAATATTCCTTCACATGTCTGAGACATTAATTGAGTAATAAGGTTCTTAATCTATGACATCATTACGAATAGACGAAAATTTCCAACCGATTGCTTAATTCAATTCTCCAAAATTGCGTCAATCTCCCTTCTTCTATATTCAATGAAGATAAATTGCTGTCAACTATTTCGATTTGCATTGTATTGCATTGCGTTAGCACTTACCTAACTAGCAATCAGTTGTTTATTCATGGCACAACAAAATCAAAGAAAAAATCGGTAATGAATTTAATCTTAATCTATTAATCATAAGTCAATTTTGAAAATAGACTTGGATCTCAATCATCTATTCCTAGTCGATCGTTGGCACAGTCGGATTCCGGCCAAAAACAATCAAATCTAAGCCCAGCCGAACTTTACATCTATGAGCAAACACTACGGAACACTGCTGCAAGTAACAATCCTTTGGAAAATATTTCTGCCGCACATAGAACTACTTTTCCTACGCATAATGAACTTATGAATGGATGGCATCAGGATAGAATTAATCAAAGACTTCAAAATTCGCCATATCAATATCATTTCACAACAGCACCTGCATCGAATAATTCGACACTGAGTAGACTCAATAGTCAAGCGAATGCATCTGACAATTCAAAGCCCAATCAGCAGTCTGATATGGATCATAAAAGAAAACGATAAGATATTGACTTCGGGCTCTTTTTTTATCAGAGAATTCTAGAAATAGTTTTTTTGTCAATTCGGACAGGTTATCATTCTCCTTTTTTCGTTTGTCATTTCTATGAATTACGATTCGATATAAAATATAGCTGGCATTTCATAATTTCAAAATGATCATAAACTCGACTTATGTTTCATTCACGAACAGGTAACTATTCGGGCCTTTACTCAAAAATTTTGAATTATTATGAAATGAAATATTTATTAAAGACTAATACAAACAACTTTCAGAAAAAGAAAATATAATATTATGTTGATGTGAGATTATTATTTTAATGATTTCCAACAAGAAAATAAATAACGTAACATTATACAATGTGAAAAAAAGCAAATGAAAGACAACTCTAATTACACTCGGTGATCGTCGATACTCGATTTCCTTCTCGTCGAGTTACAGTTTGGCAATGTTGATGAGTAGTGTGTTGAGTAAAACCTGTTGTATGCACATGAACATTATCGCCACCAAAAGCACTACCGAATTCTCCAAGCATATCACCAAATCCGAAATTATTGGTACCAGCATTATTTACATCCGTTCCCAGGTCATCGTCATCATCGAAAAGTGAACCAAAATCAAAGTTGAAAAACTTTTCATGCGCTTTTTTATGCGCTTGTTCATGAGCCTGTTTATGGGATTGCTGATGGGATTTATAGTGTGCTTCATGATGTGCTTGATGTTTAGTATGATGAAATTGAGCAGAAGCTTCATCGAATTGTTTAAAAAAATCATTCATATCAAAATGAAAACCAGAAAAGCCACCTTGATTTGATGAAGATTTAAATGATTGATGTCCTTGCATGTCGTATTCACGACGTTTATCAGCATTACTCAATACATCGTATGCTTCGGCTATATTACGAAATTTTTCTTCCGCTTTCGGATCTTTATTTTTATCTGGATGAAATTTTAATGCTAAAGAAAATAATAATAATTAGAAATTTTTATTTTCGTAAAATCGAGTTCAACACTTTACCTAGTTGGCGAAATTTACGTTTAATTTCCTTTTCACTAGCATCTCGTTTAACACCTAAGACTTCATAATAATCTGTTGCTACGGCTACTACGATACAGAGAGCTAACACAATGAATTGTAGCCATAAGTGAATGTTCATTTTGGTGCGGGAGTTAGGTAGGGATGACTGTCCACTAATTTACTTATACTAAAATTGTTTCTTATGCGTTTTTTAGTTAGTCAACATTGTGTTGCAATGTAGCTGGTGCTGATGTTGCTAAGTTTGATTGGTCCACATACGAACCAACAGCAGCAGACAGAAGGTAGCCGGTAGGGAATTATTAGCACGACATTTGTCTGTCAAAATTGTCAGTGAATTTATGATAGCCATCTAGAATTTGCCTACTATAAGAAATGATTCTCAGAGAAATAATAATTGCTATGGGACGCTGTTGATTGGTATAGAAAAAAAAAATACTATGAGATAAGGAAAAATAGGAAGTGTTTTAATCCATTGATCCATAGATCGATGAATAGACAACATAATGATGGCACAGGTAATACGGTCGAAATAGCTGGTGACCAGATCTCCATATCGGCCAACGCATTGGATTCTTAAGATGAGCTTTCACTTCGAATATTGCTCGTTTACATGATGCGACTGATACACATGTCGTCTAGTTGCTTTTATTTCACCCTTGATAATATCATAGTATATACTTATTGAGCTGCAGAGTTCTACGATCCAACAACTTTTTCGACACATCCACCCAAAATAAATCGTTGAGCGAAATAAACACTTACTGAAATGCTTGAAGGTTTCGTCCACCCAGCGTAGATGGCGGTAGAAACCAGTGATAAACTCAAAAATCTACATCGCCATCTTTATTCCCCGATCCTCTATTTTGATGCCGATTATATGAGTCAACATTTTTTTCCTAGTGCGTCATTGTTATTTACCTCTTCATTGTACTTACTTCAACGTATTTCACAATCTATCTATCATTATTCATAGATATTCGTCCGTCGTAAGTTAACTGAAAAGTTTTAAATAAGTATTCTTAATTCATAATGCCACAACAAAATGAACATTTATCTTTTAAATCAGATGCTATTGTCTCAGATATTGACTATTCCGAAGCTCGTACTATTCTTGATTTAACAATTACAAAACAAAAAGAGCTTCGTCGACAACGTTCACAAACATTACATACACAATTACTACTGAAGCGAACCTATTTACATGTTTGTCAATTATTAGATTCGGAATGTTCAAATGAAAAACCGAAAACATTACCATTATCAATAGTGGATACAAACAAACGAAAAATATCTTCACACAATCATGATCTATCATCCAAAACTAAGAAAAGTAAAAATTCTATAGATAATGATATTCTTCAGTTTCTTCGCGAATTGAATTCAACCAAAATAGCAAACAGGTATTGAAGAGAGAAATAAACTAAATGAAATTATATGAATAAAATTTAGTGAATACATCGAACTCTCTTCATCGGTTCGGCAATCGATGCCAATGGTAGCCGTCGTGTAAGTGTATTCGATATCAAACAAGACATACATTTGTTCTACTCGGTGAATGATCTCGTTTTGGCTTCTCTTTTGTTTGTTTTTTTCGTTTACTTTATCAGATATGTTGTAGTGTAAAATAAAACGCATAAGGCAGTGTGCCCTCAAATCATCATTCATTTTATGGTCGACACAAAAAGATTATTATACATAATAGTGTGAGCCCTTTTTCTATTCATCTATACCCCGTTTTGATTTTTTATAGACGAAAACCGGCCGACAGAAACATCCGGATGGTGATATTTTCTGGGTAAATATTTCTAACTTCTAAATTCTACGACGAAGGAAATCAAAACATGGAATCAACAAATTGATTTTTATTTATAAGTTAACCTTTTCTTTTCTGTTGAAATAAGATTTGCTCAATTTCTTTTCATATTCTGACTACGTTTCTGATAAAAGTAAAAAAATAGTAAGAGCTCATTTTAACAGCATCGCAATTAGTTACATGCATTGCTTTCGAAAATTCGTATTATAGATGACGCCACATACACCAGTCCTTGTTATGATTGAAACATTATATGGCATATTGAAAGTGACAAGTGGCATGCGAATAAGTTTCTCTGAAGGCTACAATTTTGAATGATAATAATCTTTCTTGTTTTGATTTGCTGGAGAATATAGTAAAGGTCGATTTTTAGATTTATTAAATATTTGTGTCATTCATGTATTGACAGACTTTCTTGATGATAACATTTTCGATCGATAGGAAAAAGAAGATTTGATTATCAAGCAATTTTTTTTTATTCCTTGTTTCTATTATTGCCAATATCAAGTGATCATGACGAGCAATGCTAAATACGAAATCTGTCGAAATGAATTATTGGCGATGAAAAATGCGTATGTTAATAGTTTTTTTGTATGTTGTATTAATTATTTAAATAAATAAGTATCTAAAATGAACTGTAAATTTTATCATTAATGCAACGAGAAAGTTTTGTCAAAATTTATTTCATCAACACCATCGATTGGAGTTACAAAGGTTCAATTAGAAAATACGTGAATATATAATTTCTGACCTTGTTTTCTTTTTGTTGTTGGTATTATCAGTTATTATTTTGTCAAGCTACAAAATTATATGTGCCCTTGAGTAGCGTTTGTTTAAATCGTAATTAATTGACAATTCATTTCTCTTATTGGATCAAGCTTGTTTTTATCGGTTCGCAAGTGACGCAATTTTCAACATCCGACTAGAACTATAAATATCAGTAGATCCAGAATTTCGCCTATTGTTTCCATTTCTATAATCAGTCTCAATAGAATTTTTATGGCTTTTATATGCGAACGAGACAAAAAAAATGTTCCCACTAAAGCGAAGTGATTACATACAATTAGAGATATAATTGTAGTATCTCTATATATATATAAATAAATGAGGAAACATCGTATTCACACCCGATTGTTATGTGTACTGCAAAAACTAAGTCTATTTATATTTGTTGTTAAAAATTATGAGAAAATGTTTTTTTAAAAAGCCTTGTACCCCCCCCCTCCCCCGCTCCTCAGGGATGGTCTAGTCATTAATGACAATTTTTTCGATAACTCAGTCATTTCTTGACGGATCCTTCTCTTTTTCGAACTCGACTGAGATATTGATGAGATCATTCTGTGTACAAAATTTCAAGACAATTGGACGAGGCGCTCAAGAGTTATCGTGTTAATGGCCGAACACACTGACCGAATCTAATGTACTCACTTTTTGAGTACACAAAAAAAGCAAACAGAAATTACTAGATAGCATAGTGCTTCATCTGATTATATAATTTTTTAAGCTGCTTGTCTACTGAAAAACAAAAATTTGTTATTACATTATAAATCATTTTTTTTCTCAATCATTCAGTGTACATTTGACATGTCATGTAGAGTGGATGAAAATAAAATTTGACAGATCGTAGTATATATTCACTTCTTTCCAACAGATCCGTTCGATAAGTGAAGATTTTTACGCAATTATTGATGAAATATTTCTTTGTGTGCTATAATAAAATTATTAGTACTTGTATTCTTATAAGTAGAATTTAGTAATACTGGTTTGAAACATAAGTTTGTTTATCTTCCTAATAAGATTTCTTCCAACACAAACATACATGATAAAAACAAAAAAATGCTTCCATGAAACCTTATTTAGGCATCTGCTGATCATTAAAGTATTGCTCCATAATCAAATCGGATAGTCAAGCATACATTTTTTGTAGATCCAAATTCCGATAATATTCTGTACGTAGACTATCAGTTAATGAAAGAATTCAATTTTTTTTTATAAAATATTCATTGGCAGATAGCGTTGAGTGATATACGCAGCGAAATTAATTGGACTTTCGAAGCAGATATATACTCAATGTAACTATGAAGATATTTTACCATAATCGCTCGAGTCTAGCATTAGTCTGCTATTCCTATCTATGAAGTCTGTGATTCGAGCCTTTCATGTATGATTGATAGAAACCTCAAATAACTACCCATGTGGCGGAATAATGAGAAATAATCATGGACTACTACTATTATTCATAAAAAAAAAATATATTATTCCATAATAATAGAATTTATTTCTTCCATGTCCTGTTAAATAAGGTCCCATCAATGTTTCAATATGTTATTGTTCATTGAACCATTATTTGATCGAAATCTATTGACTTTTTGTAATGGCTCTTAATGGATTCATTTTAGTTGAATGCAAAAGCTTATGAATTGTTGAGTAGAATGATAAATGATAGAATTTATTATTTCCTTTTTTTCAAAATTGGCTGTGTGGGTAACCTGATTCAAGGTTTCCTGTTATTGGAATTTTTGTTCTGCGTCTATGCATTATCGAAATAATATACAAAAAAAAATGTCAAGTAGGAAAGGCGGTGCCCGAGAGAGGAGACTCTCGAAATATTGTTGATGAATTATCGTTGCCCGTGGGCGTTATAGTCGATACAGAAGAAACTACATATTACTTTGAATATTAAGACTCGCCGAATGGCCTTAGGGAGCGACTAGTGGCACAGGTCAAGTTGAAGGAAAATAGTAGAACACTTAATAAACGAAAAACGAATTGTATGCTAAAGAAAATAACAAATCTAATGTTGCTGACAAATGAAATACCTATTTTGTGTTGCTTCTATTTGTGGTATATCGTTGAAAACACAAGATAAATGCTTACATGATGTGGATATCGACCTTGATCAAGTAAGCAAAAATAACAAGGATAAGATAATAATTAAAGGTTAGAAAACATCAAATCCTCTTAAACAAATACATAATCATGTATTTGTTTTTTCTCCTAATAGTTTTTAGAATGTTTTACATCAATAAGTTGAGTATCCAAGAATTCTGTTTATGTTTATATGTCTTTTTCATAATCAAAGAACACGCTAGAGAATGCAAACTTTATAGAAGAATTTGCTTTCTCAACAAAAAAAAAACTAATCGATCGAATTATCCAGAAGTTGTCTTCTAGTTGAAGAAAAAAATATATTATACACAACAGATGTTATTATCATTGTACTATGAATTGTGCGAAAAGAATTTCCAATGACCCTATCATCAGTAGGGTTAGGAGGAGTTTTGCTGGAAATATCCTCAATCGGCGGCCAGGTTTATCATTGAGTCGATATACTAACTTCTATTGCATCTGATATTGGCTATAATTAAACTCAAATATTTACTATTGAGAAAAAAAACGAAAAAGGCTTTCATGCTTAGTCAACAACTCATTTTAATTATTAACTGTAATATATCTCGCTATATATATATATTTGATAGTTCTTTTTATTTAAAGATTCCCGTTTGTTATTTACATCTTTTAAATATGAGGCTGAATTTTTTTCCTGTCACTTCAGCAAGCTACTTCAGAAATTCAATGCTTTTTCTACGTTTTTTCTTCAAATGACTATTATTGTCGGTATAGATTTCCATTCATTTGTAAGCTCATAATAATCCGAGCTTAGAAATAAAATAGGCAAATATTTTGATAATCAAGTCTTCGCATGTATCGTTTTGACGATGTGATTTTTATTCCTATGTTGAGTTGAAATATTTTTCAAACAAAACTCACGATTGATTTACATCTGCAGGGTTCTTCTTCTTTTTCGTTTGTTTGGTAGTTAATATTTATTTATTTGTTATCGCCTTTAGTATATTATACAAAACCAGCACTCTCATCGTTTATCCTTAAGTGATCTCTTGATATCGACTATCATCTTCAATAAAGTAATATAACTATTTTGAGATGTATATACACATATATTTAATTAATAGTTTGCCGGATTTTATGTCATGCAATGTTAGTCCTTGGTAAAATAGAATATGGTCTAAGGTTCCATCAGAATAAACAAGATATATGATCTCCTCCACGATATTATCATTAATACATTATTTATTTATTTTGATTTTCTAAAATACAAAAAGACGATGAAGATGTTTTGTCGCTCTCGAAAACCTTTTAATCAGAAAGCATTTCTCTGTAAACAATGTCAAATCAGTTTAATAGAATTTGGCATTTCTTTTCTGAAACTTTCGACCTTTTTTTTTAATTATGTACGATCATCATCACCAGGAAAACATCACTTATGACCTTTATATTCTGCTTTAGTTAACAACAACAATGGATTTTATATGAAATATATTTATTGTTTTTTTTCTGCGGTTACTGTTATTTTCTTCTCGAGTATTGATAGTTAAGGACTATATTAGATGTCTCGTATATTCTTTCGCTTCATGAATAATGATTTGAAAATCACACAGGGAAAAACAATAGAAAATATTGATGTCTTCTTTCAGATGTTGCATATGGTCTAATGATTAATGGTTAATAATTAATTACATTTGGTTGTCGAGAATGTTTTTGTGCATGAATATATGTCATCTGAAATCTGTTATTGTTGTTTAGCGAAAAGAAGAGAAGGACATGAAGGTCACAAGTGATATTGTCTTGTTGACAATAGAATTGCATGATTGAAAAAAAATAAGGTCAAACGTTTTGGAAATAAATGAAAAAACTATTAAACTGATTCATTATTGTTATTTATTTTCAACTATTCTATTAGCGAAGTAAAATTACGAATAAGAACAACTTGAAGTTATATTCTATATAATCATCAGCAACTGCTGATGCCAACTGAGATATTCTATGCCAGTCTTTATGTAATACTAACTTTGGCATTGAACGAGCGTCATATTCAACTGCCGTCAATAATGAGATGCTCTTCTCTTGGAATATTTTCATAATTCTTGAACAATAGAAAATAACATTAATAGAGTACTTTTCTAAATATGTTGACAGAAAGAAATGACAAAAAGCTTTTTATGTGAAAAACACGTAAATAGATGTCTCATGTACTTGTGCTTCTGAAAATTTACATTTTAATCATGGACATGATGTCCACTGATAATATAAACGAATTTAATTTATAATAACAACGAAATTAACGCTATTACATCTCTCTCGAGGACGAGAGACAGAAACAGCGACCGAGACAAACAAGAAATAACAAATATGAGATGATGCTTTTAATAAACAGAATTATATAGAATGTAATGAAAGACTTTTTTACAAAAAAAATTATTTCTCGCATGTCATCAACTATCAACAAAAAACATTACCTAGACAGATTGTACCTATCATCATAAACGATTTCTTTTATTATTACATCATCGATTTACTACAAATTTCGATTGTTTATGTATGGATATATATTTATATACGCATGTGTTTGTTGATTATCAAATGTCGTTTTCTATCGCAGTGAATTAGTCGAGCATTGCGATCGATCGATCGATCGATCGATTCCAATAGGACATAAGATGAGATCTCACTAATGTTATTGCTTATTGCTTTTTCAGTCTTGGATAGAAAGCGAGCATAAAGAAGAAGAGGAAGAAGCAGGAGAATGGGGAAGATATAGATTAAGAAAAAGAACCACCAATAAATGACAATAATACTTCTAGAAACAACAAGAAATGTTCGTTTGCGTGTATAAGCGTACAAGATTCGTAATGGCTAGATTTGATTTTTCTATTTTTCCTACATATACATGGTAAACAATTAATGGAGCGAGTAGACATTTTTTTATGAGAAGAATCAGTAAGAGAATGTCGTTATCATACATGATAGATGAATGGTCAATATTTATAGTAACTATTTGAATCTGTATATTATCGAGCGTCACTTGTTTTCTCCGCGTCTTATTATTATTATTATTTTATTTTTATTCATTATGATGATGATGATGATTATTATTATTACTAACAACAGACTTTGACTAGAAATAAATAGCTAGTTAACAATGCCTAACAATTATTGGGTTACGGACACGTTAATTGATCTATATCTTGTCGTTATTCTCTTCTTCATCATGTCGAGTCAAATTGCAATCTATCCATCTATTGTTGAAAGGCGCGCATGTCCTTGACATCCTTCATTGCTTTTACACACACACACACATACACATATACATACATATATATATATATGGATATATAAAGATATATAGAAGGATATATAGATAAATGTATAGAAGGAGATTGTCCCGTCGTTCGTACAATGACGACCTACATCTATTGTCACTCAATAATGAAGAATAGAAGGAGAAGAAGAAGAAAAAGTTTTCACGTTGTATGGTATTATTTTGAAAATTACCATCAACAATAGTAGCCAAAAGATGCACAGCATGCCCGTATAAGCAGCAAATATTGATTGAAACCGACAATTTTTTTTTTGTTTCGGATTCTCTTTTTCTTCTCTTTCTCCCTTTCCCTTTCTCTCTCTCTCTCTCTCTCTCTCACATCAGAAATGGCGACCACAGTCTCTTCGTTTCTTTTCTTTGATATAACGTTCTCTTCCTATCATCATTGTCGATATCTATGGCTAAGATCGTTTCCTATACTACTATTACTATGCATTTCGGTCACCGTTGACGTTAGGATAATGTTTACAGATCGTACTGGGTACGCATTATCGTAATAAGCATGTAAGTTAAAAAAATCTAGGACGCTACAATCGAACTAGGACAACAAAAAAAAGTTTTCTGCTTACTACTGAGTGATATTATTCCGCGACATATGCGACAACAGCAGTAGCACCAAAAAAAAATAGAAAATACGACTATATAATACCTTCGGTTTCTTCCTAACATGCATAAACGATGAAAAATAGGCAGGTTTTCTTCACTATATGCCTTTTTTCAACGTCATTAACGATGTTGTTTTCGATTGTTGCTATCGTCGTCATACAATTGAGTATAGTAAAACCCCCTAGATGATAGATAATTATAGCCATTTCTACTATTACTAGTGCTACTATAACAAGAACATCTCTGGTTTTGTTCCCTCTTTTTGTGTGCAAAGCATTTCTTGGACAATAATAAGCAACATGGGATCAGCTTTATGTTTTTGTCGATAATTATTTCTATATATTTGTGTTCACTCTCTGCGCATTATATTTATATTCGAATAGGAAAAGCTGTTTCGTCTGCTCGGTTTTTTAATGTGTGCATAGATATATATTTTTTTTGGTTGAGTGTCTATTGGAGCGCATGCACTCAGCTCTATGATAATATGTGCTCGAAATGACGGGTGTAAAAAGGAGAAATAGTTGGCATTGAGATAGTCCCTAGATGAACACCAATGAGAGATAGATAGATAGATAGACAGATAGTATGAGATGCACAACAAAAAGAAAATGAAAATAGAAATCACGAAATAAGGAGAGGTAACTAACTTGTAGGCGTATTCGGCAATGTGTTATGTGTATCATATGTGTCTATAATTGAACTAATTGAGCGAGAGTAAAGGCTTAATGCTGATGATGTTCGCCTATTGAGTTCTAAATCTATCCTCGTCATTTCCACCGTAGTTGTCATCATGAAAATTTTCTTTTCTTATTTCTCTTCTTAGATTTTCTTTTCTTTTTCTTCTTTTTTTTTAACTTTATTGGCGATGCGTTGGGGTGCCGTTGTTCCGGATGAAAATAAATTTCCTCTTTTGATATTATAGAAGTGGAAAAAAGAAAAGTAGAAGAAAAAAACAGAACTTGATTTTGGGTTGTATTCCTTAACTCCTTCTTCGTCATCATCATCTTCATCTTCATCTTCATCTTCATCGACGTCGTCGACATCATCATCATCATCATTATTATTATTGTTATGGTTGTTTCTTTAGGATGTAAGCCTGTTTGTCATCGTATTCTGGTTCATTCGTGATGCATTCTTGTCGTTATTTAGCAGTGCTAATTATTTTATTTCTATCGGACAATGTTGCGTCACTTGTTGTTCACGATACCATTGATCTTAATCAATCAAAGCCTATTGAATATTATAATAGTTCATTGAATACATGCTCAAAAATTCGAACTAATTGTAGTTCACAAGATGGCTTGATTATTCCTCTATGGCGGCCACAACATGGAATATCAATTGGTGATCGTATCGCTCGTGCTATTGTATATCTATTAGCACTTATTTATTTATTTATTGGTGTTGCTATTATATCGGACCGTTTCATGGCTTCAATTGAAGTAATAACATCACAAAAACGTGAAATACGAAAAAAAAATCCTGATGGTACTGTATCGGTTACGACCGTGGCGATATGGAATGAAACAGTATCAAATTTAACATTAATGGCATTGGGTTCATCGGCACCAGAAATTCTTCTATCGATTATTGAAGTTGTAGGAAAAAATTTTCATAGCGGAGATCTTGGTCCGGGCACAATTGTTGGTTCGGCTGCATTTAATTTATTTGTTATTATTGCTATCTGTATCGTGGCAATACCATCCGGTGAAGTACGTCGTATTCGCCATCAACGTGTGTTCTTCGTTACAACAGCTTGGTCGATATTTGCCTATATATGGTTATGGGCTATTGTTGCTAAAATCTCACCTGGCTATATCGAAGTATGGGAAGGCACGTTAACATTTTTATTTTTCCCTTTAACTGTCATATCAGCATATTTTGTTGATACAAAAGTTGGTCAGTTTATACGTATACGTATAACAGCAAGGAAACAAGTATCACAAAATGATAATCATAAATCAATTTCGTTACCGATCAATATCGATAATTTCGAGCAAAAAAATATGTTAGATGGATCAAGTAAAAACTCAATACAGAACATAACTAATGATACACATAGAAAACGAACGATTAGCAGTATGACGGGTGGCGTAATGGATCAATTAAGTGGTTCAGCAGGTGGCGGCTTAGATGAAGTAATATCACCCGATCAAACTGAAGTACAACAACGTGATGAATTCATTGATATATGGCGTCAATTACGTAAACAATATCCTGATCATGATATGCATACATTAAATGAGATGGCTTCTGTTGAAATGATGAATCGTGCACCCAAATCGCGAGGTATATTAATTAATTAATTGATAGAAAGAAAAAAAGCTGTTCTTATTTTCTTCATATTCTCATATGTCGTTTTGTTTTTAGCTTACTATCGTATCCAAGCAACGAAACGTTTAGGTGGCGGTGGAAATATTAAAAAGAAAATGTTAGAAAAAATCAATGAACCAGACAAAGTCGATGAAACCAATAAGCCTCTAGCATTAATTGATACAACATCACAAACAACCAAAATATATTTTGAACCCAATCATTATACCGTATTAGAAAATGCCGGCTTTGTGAAAATACATGTTTTACGTACAGATGGTAATTTACGAAATACAGTCTATGTCGATTATGCAACTGAGGATGGCACGGCAACGCACGGTGGCGATTATGAATCAGCTGAAGGTACTCTAATTTTCTACCCAATGGAAACACATAAACAAATTCAAGTGAAAATTATTGATGATGAAATCTTTGAAGAAGGTTAATTTCTTAAGAAACAAAAAAAAGCAAGCCTATAATCTTCTTTTTTTTTCTTTATGTCTTCGCGTTTAGATGAACACTTCTCTGTCAGACTAAGTAATCTTAAAATAAAAGACAATCAAGGACGTTTAACACCAGGAGCATTTGATAAAAGCGTGCAATTAGTTGAACCATCAACAGCAGTTGTGATGATTATTGATGACGATCATTCCGGATTATTTGTTTTTGATAATGATGAAAAAGATGTTGTGGAGTCCGATGGCCTGGCTCAAATTACTGTATTACGTACCTCGGGTGCTCGTGGTCGAATACGAGTACCGTTTATAACTCAAGATGAAACAGCTTTAATTGGACGAGACTATCTGACCAAGGAGGGTGAAGTTATTTTTGAAAATAATGAAAATCAGTAAGTAGAAGAAAATCAACTAAGAAAGAAAAACATCGCCGAGTTTTTGTTTTGTTTTCTTTTCACTTCATTTCTTTTTGTAATGAGAATACACCCTTACAAGTCTGATGGCACTATGCAGCGGTGTTCACGATCGGACGACGATCGGCTAATTGCATCGTCACCGTAGGAGATTATTTTTAACGCTTTTTTCTTCAATTCCAATGATAGAAATAAATCATATATTGACTTCACTATAGTTGCTATGTATTCTGACAAGCTTGTCAAACTATAAAGAATGAACTTATTCTTTTTTCTTCTTTTTTCATGCCGACATGAGTTCTAATAAATTGAGTAGTTCTGTTTATTGAAGTAACAAATGCATGTGTCAATCGGAAAAAATAAATGAATGTTGATTGAAATAATGAATAAAAGAAAACTAATGTCCTTGAATTTCTTGTGGTTCATGCTTTATTTCAAGTGTTTACTAGGCAAGACTGATTGACAAACAGCATATGATTAACTGAAAACAATTAACATGAACACGTATTTATTGAGATTATCGGTTATCTCATTATAAAATGGGATTGGATACTCATATAATTATATAATAAATATTAATGGGTGTCGGATACCGTGTTTAATTACTTCCGTATTATGAATTAGCAGATTTGATGTTTCATTATCATACTGTGAGATAGAAGACGCGTAAAACGACATTTTCATAGCTGATAGCTGTTAACTTATATCTTGAAAAATCTAATTAATTAAATTATTTCTATCATCAAATGTCTCGAAGGATATGGTTAACGCTTATTCATAGGCTGTATTTTTTTGTGTTGCTTTTTTCTTATAAGAAACCTTGAGCTTTGCAGTTATCAGCGATATGATTTTTCTAGAAAGACAATATCAATTCAAATAGTTGATCGTGATCAATATCAACGAAATGAAACATTTCTTGTTCTACTGGGTGAACCTTCACTTATTCGTGAAGCTGGTGAAAAAGATGAATCTAGTATGACAGAGCAAGAATGACGAATAGATATTCTCTCTAGGAATCATATTTCTATATTTTTAGCGATGACAGAACAAGAGAAATCAATCGCTGATTTAGGTCGACCAAGATTAGGCGACAAAAATACAATTCGTATTCGTATACAGGAAAGCAAAGAATTTAAAGTATAGTAGAAAAACTAAACTCTTTTGTTTTTGTTACAAATTCACTTGGGTTTTCTTAAGAATGCTGTTGATAAAGCATTATATAAAGCAAATACAGCCATTCTTGTTGGTACATCAACTTGGTTAGAACAATTTAAACAAGCATTTTGCGTTAAAGGTAATTAAATCTAGATTTATATGTAAGAACTAATCAATGTTTTAAGCAGATGATGATGATGATGATAATGTTGTTGAATCGGGCGATTCAACTCAAGATAATGAAAAACCAGCCACATGCAAAGATTATATGTTACATTTTGTATCATTCTTTTGGAAGTTTCTCTTTGCATTTGTACCACCAACAAGTATTAAATAGACTTTTTTTTGGTTAAAATATGTTTCGATTCATGTCATATTTAATTAGGTGTGGCTGGTGGATGGGCTTGTTTTTGTGTATCAATTTTCATCATTGGTGTTCTCACAGCCGTTATTGGTGATTTAGCAACACATGTAAATTTCGAATTTGTCTTTTTACTAGAATTCTGAAATTTTCTTTCTTCCTATAGTTTGGCTGTACGGTTGGTCTTACCGATACAATGACAGCTATTGCTTTTGTTGCATTAGGAACATCATTACCTGGTTGGTGAAAATAATTTTTTTTTTCGACTTAAGATGATTTATTGTTCGTTTATATATATATATATATATATATTTCTCTTTGAAGATACATTCGCTTCGAAAGTTGCTGCTGAACATGACAAATATGCCGATAGTTCAATAGGAAATGTCAACGGTTCAAATGCTGTTAATGTCTTCTTGGGTATTGGTTTACCATGGGCTATGTCAGCCTGGTATCATTATTTTCATAACACAAAATTTATCGTAGAAAAAGGTTCATTATCGTTCAGTGTAACATTATTTTGTTCGTTTGCAGCCGTTGGATTCATTATGTTATTAGTAAGACGTTTAAAATGTTTCGGTGGCGGTGAATTAGGTGGCCCAACGAAATTTCGTGTTATATCAAGTCTTTTATTTCTTTCACTTTGGATTGCTTATTTAATATTAAGTGGACTTGAAAACTACTGTCATATTCAGCTTTAAAAAAATTCACGTCTTTCTGTTAAATACGTGTTTTTGTCGGTTTGTGTGCGTGCGTGCGTGCGTGTGTGTGTGTGTGTGTGGGTGTGTATTTTCTTTTGTCACTCTTCTACAGAAAATAATAATTATAGAGCAGAACGGTGCATTGAAAACCTTTTTTTTTGACTTTTCCTAGAAGGACATAAGAACACAAAAATAATAAAGAAAGATTTATAATATGTTAATCAAGTAATGTTCGTGACTGAATTCATTGAAAAGCAATATTAGTATATCCCTAGATGATTAGGATATAATGAATGACAACAATGATCTTCTTTTCTTCTTTTAATTAATTTTACTTTCGCAAATTTCTACCGGGTATAACTTCAAAACGGGGGGAAAAACACTTTTTTCTGTTAGATATTTATATTGCTTAGCTCATAATACTCGAGTCACCGATGTCGTTTGCATGGACGGTAAAATTTTCGTGACCAATAAAAGTCGGTTTGGATTAACAAGTTTTTAAACCTTATGGTATGGAATAGTAATGAGGAATAACTGTTGAAATAGATTTCGACAATTACGCACATTTTTCTTGAGAGAAGCTTTGAATACAATAAACACAAATCTTTTCATAATGTGTTTTTCTTCTGAAAGCTGTTAAAAGATGCTTGTCAGACTCAGCATGCTAAGTACTAATAGAAACATGAATTCATTTCCAAGTTCTAGATATACTTTGTCATGCTGTGGCGTCTGAAAAGCAGCATTCGACAAGTCCTAGGAAAAAAGTGCATGTTGAGAAAAAAAACTTCTACTATTGAAAACATCGGGACAAAAAAACCTCCACAATCCCCATTATTTTGTGTTTTTTCGTAGATTGTATTTTAAACAAGAAAAATAATAGTTTGAATATTTGTTAATTTGAATATTTAATAAGTACTTGATGATTATGAAAAAGTATTGGAGAAAAATACTTTGCAGACTTTTATTTCGTTTTCCATTTTTGAGGCCACGACCGGTAAAGTTATTTCTCAGGCTTTGTTTAATTATCACTCGAGAAAAAAAATCGGTATTGCGTGAAGTAACTTTTTTCACATGAGCGATGATAATTTTTACTATTTAAAGCTATTAAATAAAAGATTATTTACATGTGTAAATCGGTAATATGCTCAAATAACTGAAAAATTACACCTAGATCGTGTCTATATATCTGACACTTTCATGTAACCTAATAATAATAATACTACTAACAGAGAGCGAGAGAGAGAGAGAGGTGCGTTATATCCATCAAAATATCCTTGTAAACAACGACCATAGAAAATATTAATCATGAAAGATGATAATTCTTCTTGCACATTTACAATTAATGTTTTGAACTCTGTTTTTTGTTCCTAGATCGTTTTTCCGGATCAATGTGATAGCGATCATAGAAAGGTTCAATGAATCGCAAATATAAACATGTTTGTTAAGAATGTTCCAATCGATGATAATAATTTTTATTCCTACCCTATAAATAATATTAAAATATGCAGAAAAATAAATCTGGAAATTACCATTATAGATTTATTAAGGCAAATGTTAATTGGTCCACCAAGAGTAATCTTATTTTGCCCACCAAACGAATATAAACCAACTTCGTTTTCGTCGCTCTGTGCAAGGCAGCTATATTCAAGTTACGTAAACGTGCCAGGAACATACAAATTAGATTTTAGCAATAAGGAGGTCGAGTTTGTCTTGCCTCTGCTCCTGAATTGCACCTTTTTTTTTTATAGCCAAACTTTTTAAAGCTATGGTCGATATTCTAGTAGATAGAATTTTTTTGAATGATAATTTTATGTGTGTTTAGCACGCGATGTCACATAAAAATTTGCTACAAGATATGAGTTGTCACTCTAAGCATTCATTATTTTTATGTAAATGATTAAAAAGTAAGCACAATAGGATCCGGTGAATCTTCTAAAAATACCTCTATTTTTTTTAAATAATTTCTTTCAAATTATTACACACGACAGCCAGTTGATGTATTCAAAGAAGAAGCTAATGGCTTCCAAATCTTGATGCACTGCTGGAGTACTTATTATTATTATTATTATTATTGTTATTAATAATAAAATACATTCACTTGCAAAATAAAAATTTAATAAACAATTGTCAATTGATATTATTTCTGATAGGCATAGCATCATGGCAAAAAGAAAACAAAGAAATAATTCAAATTTTCCCAATTTTTATTTATTTATTCTAATAAAATAACTTAAATCAATGAGCATTGCTGTTTATCTCGGAACGGATTCTCTTTTGGAGATTGAAATCCAATAACAAGTGCGTCATTCGATTGATGATCAGTTATATAACGAACGAGATCTTTACAAACAATTGAAACCTTTACACGTTCACGTTTAGCTTCTTCACGTAATTGTTCACATAGACGACGTTGCGTAGCATAAGCTGCCTGTGCATGATCTTGAAAAGAAGAAGAAGAAAGAATCAAATTATATTATTCAAATAATATCATCTTTCTAAAACATTATGATAAGAAAAAAATGTAATTTTTGGGGCTAAAATTTATTTATTTTTCTATGTATAATTCATCTGAAGTGCCTCTTTCGGTTTTAAAACATCCGATAAAAGAAAACCTCGCCGTAAAATGATTGTCTCTTACATACGAATGCACTTAAAAGACTTCCGAGTTCCTTTATGTATCTATAGATATGTTGTAGGCAAAATTGGAATTAATTCTAATTTTGCCTACAACATATACATATATATTTCTACTTATGATTAAACAAATACGATTAGTGATGCTCCATGTAATGTTGCTTTTTTAATGAACTAGTTTGTACTTACATTCAGGTGCATAAGAACGTGATGATGTAAAATTGTCTGATACGTGTCGATTTGGAACAGGCTCATTGTTTGATGAAAGCTGATTGATACCATTGAAATTATTACCATCGAAGGCGGACATGATTATGATTAATCAAGTATATTTTGTTGCCAATCAAAAAAACTTGAAAATGAATTTTGTTTTTAAATCGATAGATGTTAATCGATATTATGAATAGATGGCTCTTCTGTTCTTTCTTTTATTGAGTAGAAGAACAAGTAATTCAAATTGAACTATTGATTTTACTAATGTGGTCCAGGTATCAGATTGTTGTAATACTAGGAAAAAGTGTGCACAGTTTTTCCTTCTTGTATGCAATAGAAAAGAAGCAGTAGAAAAAAAAGTGAGCGAGAAGAAGAGCGCAAAAAAGAAAGTAGAACCAGTGTAAGGTTTTTTTCTTTTGTTATTTTTTCTTCTTGGTGAAGGTAGTGAGATAAAAACTCTTCTTTTTGTTCAAAGAAATAATTTTCATGAAAATCTGCAATTAATAAACGACGTTAAATTTTCACTAGCACGCCTATTTCTGGCAAACATCTAAGTGAGCATAGCAAAATAAAAATAAAAATTATCGAGCTCAATGCCGTGATTTAACCAGCTTTCAATGAGTCACGAACACAACATCATTAGTCACAGAGACACTGATATGAATATATGCTAAAGAACAAACTGAACTATTTAGCAATGCAGATCAATCTAGATAGATACAGTATCGTTATAGATACTGAGCAATCTATCACATTGATGCAGAATCCTTGACTTGACTGGCATTCGTGTTCGGTGCATTAAAGAATTATTAGATTCATCAAAATTCTATATACTTTCATGAACATAAGTATCAGTATGAACGACTTATATTCATTGGGGAATGTCCATGGTCAATACCTTAGTACTGTGCATTCCTAAGTTGATGACCGACAAGAAGCCTAATATTTAATTTAATTTTCTATAGAAATCTATTATCAAGAGGCGTAAAAATATGCTAATATTATTAATTTCTTTTTTTTTCATATGAAGCAATTATATAGTTATTCTAATATAAAACAAAACAAAATCAAAGCTATTATCATGCAGAATTCAATGAATCTGATTCAATATTGATGTTGTCAAATTTAATTAACAATACTTTTTCCATATTTTGCTATTGAAGTCTATATTTATGTAATATTTCGTGATAAGATTCGAAACGATGGTGTATCACGAAATGGATAATACAGGCTCTTCTTCGTCTACATTAATTAATATCTTTCGATTTTGGTATTAATAATAATCGGAAGAAACGTGACTTTTTTTTAAATGAAAAAGAAAAGTTTGTCTTTAATGACATCCTTTTTTTGCTATTCGATGAATTATTTACAATGGCCAGTAGATGTTTTCCTCTATGGGAAAATAGGAAATAGAAAACGAGCCGATTATGATTTACTTTGAAGTTTCCGAAAGATTTCTCGGTCAAATCGATATTTACACAAGACATATTATTTAAATGGCTTTGTTTTTTGTTTTTTGTTTGAATAATAAATGTCTGCCTTCATCGAGAATAGACTTGTTGTTTTTATATCTCGTACATTCACTAAAAAATCTTTGAAACTATTTATTGGTAACCCCTTTCATCACTTGAATTAGAATCTTTATTCTATAGAAACAAAAATACTAATGAAACCTAAATCTAAGGATTTGTAGTACTCTGCTAAACTATTATTGAAGGCAAAAAGAAAGACTTTGATATACTTGACTTGCTATAGACAACAATATAAATTTAGTAAAAGAAAACATGTTTCTTCCTCATTCATTCCTATATGAACTGGTTCATATAGCATATATGTTTTCAAAAGATACGAACAAAGCTTTGATATCTTGGTTGGCACACAATATTCCTTAATAATTCATTATTCATAATCTGCTTCTATATTTTGTTATTAATATTGGTAAGATCAATTTCATGATTAAAAGGAATAAGTATAAAACATCTGGCATGAAACAATGCGGCACAGAAATGTGTGAAGTTCATAGTAGCCATCAAGTAATTAACCTTATTATAATTTTTTTGCATGATAGATGATGATTAAGCAAGCCTTGATAGACTTGGATCATCGAAGTTTCTCTTATTGAGCATAATAACAATAGTTATTTGCCATCAATTTACTAACCGATAATTACATAGAGCTGTAGAGCTTCCATTTATTACTTCGTAATTCTGAATGCAATATGCGGTATGGTGGTTAATATGCATTCAAATGAGCAATCCGAAATGTACAAGCAATTAGTTAATAGGAGAGATATAAGCAGTATTTCATCACACAATGATTTTACTAAAATTAAACTATCTTCTATGTCTAAAAAAAATATTTTCAAGTTCCCATGACGACAATACACAAAATTTGAGCTGTAATGTTCTGCGAGAAGAACTTTTTTCACCACCGTTTTCGTTTTGTATTTAAGAAAAATTATCCTTTTGAGATACTAGTTTTCTTTTGAATTTGAAATGAGCTTAAATTACCCATGGAGCGTGTAACTCAGTAAAAATAAATTCACCGGTGAAAACATTGAATACAAGAAGTTAAAAATAATAATTATAGTATAGAACAAAATAATAATAGGGATAACAGTTCGTTTGAAGATTTAAAAAGAACGATTGAGTATGATACTCTTTTCTTTTTAAAGGGCGAAGTTCAGAAAGTTCACATAGAAAAAAAAAACGATTCTCAGTCAGGTTCATTGTTTAATATCATTCTCATTTTCAATTTCCGCAAGAAAACAGATAATAAAAAATTCATCCTGTAGAGAATTGTCCAATTACGTATGAAGCTTTCTTTTTGTAAGACTTTTTGAGAAAAGATTAATCTTTATTCTAGTGATAATGTAGCTACAAAAAAAAATTGCTATCTGATATACGACATCTATGTCGATTCTACTTTAACAGTTTCATAATGAAAAAAACAAAATTAAAGAGATATTCTTATAGACAAAAAAAACTATCCGAAGTATTATAAAAAGCACAGCTGTCTTTTACTTAGATGCATTTCCCTAAGTATTTAGACTAATGAACAGTGATGCTATGATCCTAATCTCACAAGTGATTTCTCGAAGATGATAATGTAATTAAGTACAATCTTCGAAAGTAAATGTCTGGTAAACATCTAAGTAATAAAACCAGGATGAACAATACATTGAAGAAGGTCTTCTTCATTTTATCATCTTAACACGAAATTAATAATCGTCAACGAGTGCACGCGATATATTATTTTCTATCGTTTTTCACACAGATTACTATTATCGATAGACCAGAAAATATCGTGCGTAGCAATAGAAAAAAAAAACAAGAATGCTGGAATTTATTGTGAATATTGTCGATGTAAAGAATTATCATAGCGCACTTTTTTGATTGAGCTCATAACCTTTTCAATATTCTGTATAAAGCTCTGCTCAAACAAGATAAAGATATTCAAAGAATTGAAAAAGGCTGAAAGTATAAGTATCCTACATCATTGTAAGAGTTTTTATCACGACATTATATTATTTAAATGAAGCATTCATTTATAAACAGATTCATTTTGCAAATCTTCTTTATAAATAGGTTAGGTATTTGTTAACATTGCTTTCAGTATGAAAATAAAATGATACAGCACTGAATACACCTATCATCTAGTAGTTCGAACTTCGAAATAATAATCTAGATTAGAAGGACTCATTCGTCTTCCATCAATTGAAATAAACTAGATTTTACCGATAAATTATTTAGTTCTGTTCTAGAATGTTTCTGAAAACGAATAGAAATGTAATTCTGTAGGAAACACTAAACGTTCAAGTACGGAAGTTTTTCTTCTTCAAAAGATCAATATATATATTGTGGAAGCATTAGACTGTGCACCGTTCCTTATCATTTCACGATTCACGAGAACTCATTCCCAGCCATGGTATGGTCGAAATAGTAAAAAAATTTTAGAAATTACAAACTGCATAAATTCTTGTACAGAAAAAACTTTTAGATTTTTTTCATTATTAATATTTACACATGATTTGATTTATTTTCGAATATAAATTACACAAGCACTACTAGCTTTCAACGCTGATGACAGTTTCGTTGACTACATAGTATTTAAATTTTGCACACTAATTTATTGTTTTTTTTATATTTGATATAACACAATGGGCAACAAACAGAAAACAAACAAACATAGAATGAGTTTATGTATGACTAGAAACGAGATTTGTCATTATATATTCTTTTCTATACATTTAACATCGATATATTTATATAAAGAAAAACAATTTGGGGTCATTTCAGACAAAATGAAAAAAAGATTAAAGAAAAGAACTCATCCGAATACTAAAAACAAGGCAGAATTTTTAAGATGAAACTAAGTCTGCGGTGGAGCTTGCTGATATTGTCCTTGTTGATATGGTGCATATTGAGGTTGCATCATCATTCGAGGCTGTTGATTTTGCCATTGTTGTTGTTGCATATGGTAATTTTGTTGTTGTTGATGATACATCTGTTGTTGTCCAGCATAATTACTATATGGCATTTGTTGTTGTTGTTGTTGCTGCTGCTGCTGCTGCTGCTGATTCGAAACGAGATTTTGTGTGTTTGTTGCTTGAGAAGGTGAACTCGAGGATGATGGCTTCGGTGATGATGGAGCTGGGATAATTGATTGTTGTTGACTATTTAATGGTGAATTTGGTTTAGCAATTTGATTGGATGGAACTGACATGCCCGGATCTACAAAATATATAATATATGTATATGACTTCTAAGAATTGAAATTTCTTGAAAGATAGAGGTAAATTTTGTTTTCAGTAATTAAATCTTCCATGAGAATAGTTCATTTAATTCCTGCCAATAAGATATGTCTTCGAGCTCTGCATGTGATAACGAGGTTGATATTAATAAACGCTATTGATATAAATCAGTCAAGCAAACGTTTAGAGAGCTTGGAGATATTTAATTCTGTCGAATAGTACTTGGCCTCTCTAATCACAGAAATCTTCTCTAGTTGGTTTCCTCGTACAAATATTATTTTAGCTATTCAATACGAGGGTATATTTTAGATATTTATCCGCTACTAAAATATTTACTATTTGTTGCGAAGTCGATTCCTTTAGGCAATCAATATATGCTCATAGAAAGACTTACTCTGTTGCTGATGATACATCGGATAATGTTGTTGTGGCATGCCGCCATTTGGATGATGTGCATAACCATTTTGTTGTAATGAATAAGAATGTTGTTGTTGTTGTTGAGGCATATAAGATTGTTGACCTTGCATATATGAAGATTGTGCTTGTCCACCTGTTGAATGGTCCATTCCAGTACCATTCATAGGTCTGCCTTGTTGTTGCTGTTGTATCATTTGTTGTGTTGGTAAATAGGGTCTTTGCTGTTGTTGAGACATTGGAGGTAGATGAGTTGATGATGGTGGTTGTGGTGTTGGTGCTTTATTCATTACTGAATTTTGTGGAGAAATTGAAGATGCTAGTGGACCAGATGGAGATGGTGATGGAACTGAACCTGCCGGTGATCGTTGTTGTTGAAGTGATGGAGGAACAGATGAATTACTAGTTTGGGCATTCGATGGTGGATAAAGACCACCGGCACTACTACTACCATGTGGACTTTTGTTTAAAGCTGATGCAGAAACATTCGATGGCGCTGGACTATTGGTTTGCGTCCGGTACACTTAACAAAACAAATGAAATATCGAACTCGATTTTTCATAGCGGAAACATTTCTGTTCGAATTAGAAATTGACCCAAATGGCAACAGTTTCTATAAATTTTTCATTTTCACTGTGAACCTCATGTATAAAAGTTTGACTTCATAAGTAAATTTTGACTAATAAATGAATGTCTCCATATGAAATAAAAGTTTACTTACTTTGCTCCGATGTTGATGTTGGTACACCCAATTGATTGGGCTGCATCATAGCATTTCCCTAAAAAGTTAAGAAAAATTCATTTTTTTTGAATATCTATTTCATTTTATTACCATCATGTTGGGTTGTTGTGCTTGAACAAATGCGTCGGGTGGCTAAAATTTGAAAGTTTAAATAAAACAGAGTTCAATTCATCAACATACTGGTAAAGTATTTGGATGATGTGATTGTGTCATATCAAATTGAGTTAAATATGTCAAATTTCGATGTAAAGTTCGTTGATATCTATGTAAGAAAATTGATTTATTCTATTGATTTTCACAACTAAATTAACTTACTCAAGACTTTCCATTTGTCTTCCTTTAGTTTGTAAATCAAGTATTACGGATATTAATTGAGAATTATCATCGAGTATCTGAAACAAAAAAGATACGTTGTTTGATTACACAATTCACTTTTGACTTTTAACATTACTTTTTGAATAGATGGTTTTTGTTGTGGAGGCATAGAAGCCACTTGTTGTTGAGTATACATTGTAGCAATCATGCACAAATAAAAGAGATCAAACTGAAAACAAAAAAAAACAACACCGTAGTTCAATAGAAAGAAAGACAAGTAATATTAACCAATTAAATATTATCACTGAGTGTTTAGAGGTTTCCATAAATAGAGTCAATTTCGAAAAGTTTATTTATAATATGAAAGATTTTTATAGGTAAGATAAATTCGAAAGATAAAATCAAAATTTATAGATGTCGCCAAGTTTACCAACAGAAAATATTATTGTCATATTGCAAATAGGCATGTGTCATAATTTGGGTTAAGATAAGCTGTCTTCACAGGATACATACACACACACACACACACACACACGTGTACCCAGGTAACGGAAACTGAAGCGAATAACAGACTGAGTATGTGAACAAGTGAAAATACGCTTGTCACGTATTCGAAATGCGTTCAGAAACGTGCGTGCCTTTTTACGCGGGTTTATAACGTAGTTCTTCTCTCAGGTCAAACACTCACGATCGTATCCCAGGTGAATGAATCCGACAGTGAATCCTATCGGATTCTATGGGATCCGACAAAACCTGATCGGAATTCCGGATCTAGGAACTACTAACGGATCCGACGGAAAGAACCATTTTCTTAATCACCAATGAATAAGCATATGGTGTCAACAGAATGCAGGGGTCGAATTTTTATGTTGGATTCCGTTAAATTTCGACACTGGAACCTATCAGATTGCAAAATTAGGGTTCCGATTGTAGGTCCCACACTTGGATACCGATAGGATTTCGCCAGTTTAATGAAATCCATACTATATCCGACACGAACGGACACGAATCCGATAGGATCTTACTATCGGAATCATTCTCCTGGGTATATGATCATTATGATTTTATCGGGGGAAATAGCATTATCTGCTTCATATTTGAATGCCAAAATATTATTATGGAACATATACTAAATTTTGACTCATGCAATTTCGTTCTCAATCAACATATATACACAAATTGGTTGATTTGTTTTGAAATTATCTAAACCTATGAGAACAGAGGATTAAACTTTTTTCTTTCTTTCTTTCTTTGATAACATCGAGCCTATGCTACACGAAGAATGCAAAAGAATAATTCTCGTTGGAAGTGACGAAAGAATTTCTTCTTTTGTGTTCTTCATCGCTGTAGTACAGCATATATTTGAGCTGTCTGATTTTCTTCATTTATTACTTTGATTTATCATCTAGATATTAAGATTACAACTGATAGTACATATAACTACTTTGATAACTAATCATCAAATTGAATCAACCTGTGACGATACAGACTAAATCTTTTTCCCTAAAATGGTACAATTCGTGTATACTTCTTTGTTTCTTTTCAACTGCATTTTCTCTTGAAACTTTTTCGATCAACTCTTGTCTAAATACTATTTCAAGTATGCTTTCTCTCAGTTATAGCTCCATTTGAAAATCTTTAGTATGTCATAAAAATTGATTCAATAAATATTTTCTAATCAGCTGAAAAAAAGAATGGAGTCTATTAGAATGTGAATATTTATTTCAGTTAGACGATCTTCTATAATCGTAGATGACCTCAGTAAATGTCGACCTGAACTCTTTGTAGAGGTTGTGTTTGAAAAAGCCTTTGGAACGACAGACAGTTCTTATAGTGAGACAAAATTTCTCAATTAAGTTTTATAAAGAAAAGTATGACAAAAATAGAGTCAAAAAATAATCTGCTTCATTTCAGATGTATTTACTGGCTGCGTATTCATAAAACTTTCATATTCACGAAAAAAGAATTTTAAAAATATCAGTGATCATAATTATGCAGGACGAAAAAGATATTCTTTAGGAAGCTGCAAAAATAACTGTAAATCTTTTTTTTTTACATTGTTGTCAGTAAAAATAACAATATGTGATGAAAATAATTAACAAAAACTTTTATCAACCACGAGAAATTCTAGAAGTCTATTTGTTTTCCAAACTTTTTTCTCCATTGATTCGAGCACTAATCATTTTTTGTCAAAATCATCTGTATTTGTAATTTCTTAAAAATATCTGCGAGAGGGATAGAGTAAAAAGAGAATGAGTCATATAATCTAGAGGCCAATCGGAAGCGACGTTCGTGAAGCCACGAATGCCATGTAAAACAACTTACGAGCGGCACAAAAGACGCGTTCGAATGAATGTTGACGTCAAAACAATTGAAAAATTCTTTTTACATTCATTTTTTTCATATTTAATCGTACAGGTACGTGCAACTTCTTGTTTCAAACGACCTCTTTTTGGCAAGGTAGAGGCGCATTATCATTTTATTGTAATGGGTATAGGTGTGTGTGAATTATCGTGACACGGAATTTGCCTGTAGTTTTCTTTTAAAGGAAAAGTTCCTAGATTTTTTTAAATTTAATTCATGAAGAATATTAGAAAAGAGTGAAGTAAAAATTTCACTTATTAATAATATGTCATTATTGGTATTATTTATTTTCAGAGATGAAATAGAGTTTTATCTTTTAGAATGAGACTAGATAATACATTCGGTTCGAAGAGAAAGAAGATTGACTCTCTTCAATATTGGTACAAGTAATAATGATGGATTTTATTGAACATCATTGATTTATATTGTCACTTATTTGCAATGAAGGCGTGTGTTATATATAATTCAAGTACATGAAAACGTATTCGCGTCAAATGACAGGTCTCACCGGCTGAGCAATATGAATTGTGTATGATACGTACATACTGAGATATTTGATTATTAAAGATATTTATGGTGTATTGCATCGCCTCTCTTAAATTTTGTTTTCTAAACTATATTATTTAAAATTGCAGTATATTTAACTGAAATCTCGAGTTCTGACTGATGATATTCGATTTCTCTTGTACTTGCGTTCATCTCGAGTTGATTTTGAACAGCTTCAAGTTTCAATCGAATTTTATTTCTTTCTGATTGTATAAAATTTGTTGAGTTATAATCAAGTATCTCAAAACAAATTCTGACTTTCACAAAACGTTTATTCCTATATAATTCTGTATGTTTTCTAAAGGCGCCCGATAGAATGATCCCTTTCGTGACGTTTTGCAATATTAACATATAATATTATATTTTGCAGGATCGAAAATTGTTTTGTAGTCAAATTGAGAAATCCTCCAAAATCTGCTACTCAAAGATTTTTCGAATAATCTTAATAATAATCTAGTCATTATGAGTTATTAACTTTAGAGTATGGTTAATCGAGGATCGATGGGACGAACTGTACAATGAAACGAATATATTCAATGGTCTTGAGTTCCAGTGCACATCCTTCCAGTGTAAGTTAGCGTATTGAGATTTTAAATATTAGTATATTTGAAAGTTGATTATGAATGTTGGATAAGAGTTTTTGAGCAAATGAAAATATCTTTGTATATTTACGATAGGCTTCTTGAACACTCTCAATTAGTTAAAGCGCATTTATAATTTAAGTTATGCGATCGAGAACGTAAATTTTACAAGCTTATCCTGTAGGGCAAATGTGATCTTCAATAAAACTATTGTTCAATGCAAAAATTTGATATTTCAATCAACGTACACTACTCTCGCAAATACTACTAGAGATCGTCTAAATATATTGTCCTTCTTAAGTTATTAAAAGTATATCCATTTAAAAATTTTCAAGACACTCTTGTGCCTATGAAACCTATTGATATCAGATTCATCATCAATAATTTTCAGCAAAACTATCTTAAATTAAGGGAGAAATCCACACAGATGAACTTTCATACAATTTCCGTAGGTTTCCCAACAATCACATTTAGAACAAAGCATTTATTTGGTTAATAACTTATCTTAGTAGTTTTATCAATAGTAAGTCGACAGGGACTCTTATGAATGATCATAACGACTTCTTTTGATTGCATAGAAGAATAAAACAGCAAGTTTTCGGGAAAAAAAACGGAATTTTTTTCAGTTCTCCGCAATATTTTATGACTGAGTTATATAAATCGATGTTCCTCCTTTATTGGACACTAAAACAAAACTGAAAATACCAATGACGCAATAAAAATTCAATTTGTTTTCGAATTTGCTCTCTATCCTTTGGCTAGATTTATGGTATTTATTTTTTTCAGATGTATATTCGTTCATATAATCCTCGTTTATATTTATCTTTATTATTCAAGCAAATTAAAAATCTTTCGACAGCATCATCAACTATTCTCAAACCATATCCAAGCTACGTTGAACGTCAATTAGAAGTTGTTATAAACACATCATCAGGGGATGAATTCATAGAAATCGATCGGGACACAAAAGTGAAAGTACCCACGCCATCAACATCGATTCGAGCAAAAGTTAATTATGTCGATACAGATCCTATCGGTGATAAAAAGCAACCGATTGTTTTACTTGTCCATGGTTATCCGGGTACACATGAATCAACAAAAAGTTTTATTGAAGAATTTCAACAAAGAAATTTTCGTTGTATTGCACCCGATATGCCTTGTTAGTTATTTTGTTTCATTTTCTTTTATCGCTCGAAAACAAAACGAAAAAGTTCATATTATTTAGATTGTGGAAAAACTGTAATGCCTTTATGGAGTGTAATGATATGGAAAAATTCTGTTTATTTACGTGCAAGATTTCTAGGAGAGTTATTAAAAACTATTATGAAAGATAAATTAACGTAAGATTAATAATAGAACAAAATAAATTTTTTTACAAATCTATTTTTTGTTTAGACCTATTCATACAGTTGTTGGTTTTCATGAAAATGCTTATTCATTAATGTCAATGATTGATCAATATGAATATTTTCATTGTCCATCTTTGATATTAGTTAATCCTGTACCAAGAAAATTGATTCGGTAAAGATCTTTAAATACTTGAAAATAGATTTTATTTTCGTTTATGAAGATTTTTTCCGTTAGCTAAATTCGCATTTGATTTCGGTCGCCTTCCTCTCCATTGGCCTGTAGCAAAATTTCTTTTAAAAACTCTTGGCTATAAAGAACTATTGACTTATTCTCAACGAGATATTATGGCTGCTTTACGTATGTGGATGATTGAAGATACACATGAAGTAAAAAAACGAAATCATGTTTTTTTTTCCAAATTTTTTATTTGATTTTATAGTATGATGCATATATACATAATTTATGGTTGTCTCGTTTACGTACTATGGTTGTTCTGTCAGGCGAAGATAAAAATTTGGATGCAACATTATTAGAAGCATTAGTTAAAGACTTAGCTGTTGAACCTTTCAATAAATGTAGGTAAGATTATAGAATAGTATTTCTCCTTGATAGATAATCCTAGCAGAATTAGCTTACACTTGGTAATCAGTTGTAAAACGTCCTATGAGGGATCTTTAAACGTTTTTTTTTATATCATTAGTTTGTTGTTTTTGTTAAATTTCCGGATCTTAATCGTTGGTTTTTAATGAATATTCTTAGGAAACCTGATTTTAATTTTATTCAAAAAGACAATTCATCATAAAAGTAGCGAAATATGCAAGTTGGCGATGTTTTGATTCAGTTCAATCTTTAAAAACTGACAAGATGCGAAAAATTCATAACAAATTATTATTTTTCAATGTCTTTCTTCGTGTGAAAATTTGAGTAGAACGGTAGTATTAATATTTAATGATTCCAGGTTGATTCCTGTGTCACTAAGAAAAGCTTAGAACGATTTACACCTATAGATTACTTATATAGATTTGCAGTCGTTTTCAATCTCTCTCCCTCTCTCTTCCAATGAAAGTTCAAATCTTTGGATACATTCATTTTTTTCTGTATATTTAAAAGTATCTCTCGTTAGAATGAAACTTTCCAATTGTTCAATGGCAGATTAGCTTTTATAATTAGGGAGATAGCGAGAGAACTACTCTTTCTGCTAAAGGCACTGCTTCATGTATATTCTATACTCTTTTCTAGCATATAGAAAAGCTAAATGTATGAAATCAAGGTTCATTGAGAACTCCACTTAGCTAAATAAGATAATTTTTATGTTAATAGCCTATTGCATATATATATATATCGAAAAATGTCATACAAATTTGAATAGAATTAACACAAGATTAATTCTTTACATAAAACAAAATTACTACCGAATAAAAGCAAATGTCTTTCTCAAGAAATTAATTTTATGATGAAATTCGACTATTGCCAAAAGAAATTATTTTTAATATCTTAATGGTATATATATATATATATATATATATATATATTATTCAGGAAACAGTTTTTTAAATGATTGTGGTCATTGATAGGTTTGCACCATCATTTCTCTCTGAAGAGATTTAAAAGCACACTCTTGCCACGATGAATTATCTAATTTGAAAGTTCAATAAAAACTTTTATAAATCATTTTATTCTCATATTGATTTATTAAGACAAATGTTGTTTTCTTCACTTTTTAAGTGAATATGGCTAATGGTGTTATTAAAAAATATGCTTGTGATCATGATGAATTACTATCTGATCGTATAAGTTATGTTGTCGATGATATTGAAACATTTATTTCTACGCCTCTCAAGTCACCAGCTGCTGCCATGTTAGTATTTGTCTATGTCTTTTTTTTCTTCTTTCTTATAGTTCGCGTTTCTTTATTTCATCAGAACACAATCATTTACAGTTGCGACGACAACAAAAGCAGCACAAGAAAATAAAAAAATCATCGACGCAACAAATAACAACGAACGCGAAAAATCCAATGATCAAGTCGATGAAAATGCATATCAACGTGCAAGTATGAATGATTTCTTTTCGAAAGCATTCGGTGCAAGTCAAGCTGAATTAAAACCAAATCAACCACACAGTTTACGTTCAGCATTCGAATCATTTGCTGGAGATTTCATTCAGAAACCTCCACCTGGTACAAAGAGAGAAACATTAGAGACTGTAAAAGAAGAAATGAGAAAGAAAAAAATTCGTATTCACACGAAAAATTAAATAAATACAAATGAATGTACGTGATAAACATCTTTCTTTTCCTTTTTTTTGTTTCCTTTTGACCATCAGTTTGCATATTGACTTAAGCCATACATAGATCTATGAGAAAAGGTCATGTTCAAATAGACATCGTCATTTGATTTGTTTCAGATGTTCCCCATACATCTCTATTGGTTTCTTTATCGTCGACGAAATAAACTTCTACTTCTTCTTGTTGCTATATTTTGTGTCTTATTTTATTTCTACGGAACTGATCATCATCATCATCTTACGTCGCAAACTAAAAAACAAACAAAAAAGACTCATGTTAAAAGCAAAATTCGCATCAATCGTGATACTTATTCAATACCAGAACCATGTAAAGGTTGTCCCGGCGAGAATGGACAAGGCGTACAATTAACAGTAATTAATATAAACTTTTTCAAAAAAAAAAAGAAAAAATGAAAATCTATTTTTATGTCTCGTTTAGGCTGAAGAATCGAAAAATTTAGATGCTGTGATGAAAAAAGAATTTTTTAATTTACGTGCAAGTGATAAAATTTCGCTATGGAGATCAATACCAGACACTCGCGATCAATTGTAGGTTGTATTCTCTAAAATAATAATCATCGATAGCGATCGTAGAAGTGTATAAATAGTTTCATTGCTATTTTATTTTTGATTTTCTTTTTCCTCGGAATTTAACGATATTATTAGTATATTCTATTTGAAAAAAATCCGAAGAACATTTCTTGTGAGATTCTTCGAAATGGTGTTGACGTTCCGAATTTTATAAACTTTGATGAGAATTTTCAAAGTGCAGAAGAGTCAAATCTATTCTTTTCGAAGATTTTTTGTACGTGCAATAGAAATTTCTGAAAGACCGGTAATGAAAAAATTAATTCATTATATTTAGGTGTAAATCAGTGAATTATCCAAACGATTTACCAACTGCATCCGTTGTCATAGTATTTAAAAATGAACGATGGTCACCAGTTCTTCGAACGGTATATTCCGTGCTCAATCGATCGCCGAAACACTTACTTAAAGAAGTTATTCTAGTTGATGATCAATCAGATATTGGTAAATATAGAACTTTTATATTTTGTCAAAAATATTAATTTACCTTGTACTATTCAGACGAAATGGGCCAACGTTTAGATGACTATTGTGATGAACATTTCGGAGATTTGGTACGCATATTACGAGCACCTACGCGACTTGGATTAATTAAAGCAAAAAATTATGGTGCAAAAAACGGTAAGATATTCAGTTTGACTAACAAGATAAATTCATTGTTTCTTCTAGCCACCGGAGATGTTGTGGTGTTTCTCGATGCACATTGTGAAGCAAATACTGGCTGGTGAGTACATACGAAAATTATTATTTTTGGAACGAAAACTTATTTTCAAATAAAAAATTAATAAAATCTAGGCTTGAACCATTAGTTTATCGTATTAAACAAAAACGAACAGCTATACTTTGTCCTACAATTGATGGAATAAGTAGTGATGAATTATCATATTACCCGGGTGCCACTAGTTCGCTTGGAATATTTTCATGGTCACTTCATTTCGGATGGTCCCATACTTTCCCTCGTATTAACGTGCTACGAAATTCGCCCATCAGTCCGATTCCGTAGTGTTTTTTTCTCCTTTTTCGTTAGCTTTAGTTTTTGAATATGGTGATTTGGGTTATTTTTTGTTTTGCTTTTCTTGTAGGTTAGAGCCGCTTCTGTTTCGAATTAAAGAAAAACGTTCGGCTGTTTTATGTCCGGGAATAGATATGATTAGTGATAACAATATGGGTTATGGTGTAAGCCGTGTGAATATATGTTTACTTTTACTTTTAAGGTTTTTGTTGATATTTAAAGGGTACGGGTGATGGCAGTGTAGGAGGCTTTTGGTGGTCATTACATTTTAATTGGATTCCTATACCATCACGTACACGCAACGCACAAAAATCCAGAGTTGATCCTTATCCGTGCGTTTGTTTAAGTTGCTTTTGCTTGAAAGAATGTTTTGTTAGCAAGTAAAACCTTATTTATTATTTTCGCGTAGATCACCGACAATGGCAGGCGGCTTGCTAGCTGCACACAGAGAATATTTCTTTGAAATCGGTGGTTACGGTAAGAAAATAGAGAATGAATTCATAAAGAATTTCTATGTTTTCGTTTTTTTTCTTATTATTTAGATGACGATATGGAGGTAGGATTTGTTTATTGTGTTATTCTTCGATGGTTTCCTTTCAATCGGAATACTGATAGATTCATTATTTTATGAGAAAAGACATGTTTCAACTTTACCATAAGTATTAGATGCATGTCTATGACACAGAGAAAAAAAACAATGAAGATTTAAATAATTAGGTAAAAAAATGCAAAATTAGAGTAGAAAATATTTCGGTTGGATGAAACGATCAGCAATTGACTGTTATCTCTATGATTCGTATTTGCTAAGGCTACGCACATCCGCCATTGAAATTTGGTATCCATGTGTGTGCGTCAGGGCACGTGTACAAATTTTCGACTGTTAACTTCTTTGAATAAAGGTCACTAAACGTACATCTGATGTACTAAGTATAAATATTGACTCTATACAAAATTATTGTCTCGACATGTATATCGGAAGTGAATGAATTTATCTGAATATAAATCACGTAAAAGATTTTTTAGTAAAATAGAAAAAAACAGCTTTAAGGTGTTCCGAAGTATTGTATTGCTACTGAAAAATTTAGTATTATGTGATATCGCAAGAGCGACAAATATCAGATTAGGATCTAGATAATCTACATTGTCCTGATTGAAAAGTGAGATCAATGATATTTGGGAAAGCTTTATTTATTTTATGTACAAATGAAAAATACTTAGAAATAAAAATGTCTATGTTTAGGTTTGGGGTGGTGAAAATCTTGAAATATCTTTCCGTGTATGGATGTGTGGTGGCAGTCTTGAATTTGTGCCATGTTCTCGCGTTGGCCACATATTTCGACCTGGTCATCCATATAACATGACTGGTGAAAAAGGTAATTATTCAATATTCACTCTTTACAAAAGGCAAAATGACATTTTTTTTTTCCATTCAAGGTAAAGGTGACGTACACGGTCGAAATTCAATGCGACTTGCTGAAGTATGGATGGACGAATATAAACGTTTCTATTATATGCATAGACATGATCTCAAAGTAAAAAGAATTTTTCCATTAGAATAAAGACAACGAAACCGTTTTGTTTTCTTAGGGTAAAGACTATGGTGATGTTGAAAGTCGTCGAGACATTCGTAAACGTCTGAATTGTCATTCATTTAAATGGTATCTTGAGAATGTATTTCCGGAAAAATTTATTCTGGATGAAAATGTTCATGCCTTTGGAGAAGTAAGTTCGATCGAACAGGTCAGAGGTTTAATTCAGTTCATTGAAATATTAAAGGTTCGAAATCCTGCATCAAGTCTATGTTTGGATACATTGGGTAAAGATGAAAAATCCTCGATACCATTATCGATATATTCATGTCAAAACGGTGTATCAGCAAATCAGTATTTTTCATTATCGAAACATGATGATTTACGTCGTGAAGATACATGTGCAGTCACGTCTGGCCCCGGTAGGGATTCATTGCTTGTTATTATGGCCGCTTGTGCCTATATTGACAGTAATCAAAAATGGGTACTTGAAAAGGTAACAGAAAAAGCATCCGATTTTTACTTAGCACTAAACTGTGTTTTTGTTTGCTAAAGAATGGAACGATTGTTCATTATCCGAGTAAATTTTGCCTTGATATGGAAGGCTTAAAAAATAATGATCAACTTCAGTTGAAGAAATGTGAACCGAATAAACCATCACAACAATGGAGATTTGAACATTATTCAACGTCTTAGCTAAATGATATTATTCTGAATGCATTCCAACCATCCAATAGTGAAAAAAAAGCAAATAAACTTATGAAAATTCCAACATTTTGATATTTTCATGAAAACGTTGATAACAGTGTTGCTGCTATTTCGTGATAATAGGTTTCCGCTGATGATCCTGTTGTTTCTTTCTCTTTCTTTTTTTAGCTTAATTTGTTTTGTTAAAATTAATAACTGAATGAATATAATATTAATCTTTTATATCTATACGACAATATTTAGTTTAAATGCCTATCTATATTTATAAATATTCTATTTGTTTTTCTTTTTTGTTATCTGAGCCGAGATAAATAACTGGACCAGATAAAGTTCCAGGTTTTTGTTGTTAGCTCTAATCAACATTTATCTTACGTGAGTATGCTTTCAACTGCCAAAGAACTTTTGAGCTTGGCGTTCTTGCATAACATGTGGTTCAGTGAGATATGCAAAATCCCCTTAGGCCTTCTATACACAGTTGGAGCTATTTTACTGGAATTTCTACCTGAGATTCTGTCCAAACACAGATCTATTTACGTATAGAAGATTCTGAGAATTTTAGCACAAAATCGCCTTGCATTTCTGACATAATCAACTTTTGAAATATTTTGAGTTCTAAAACTTAAATATGTCAGGAAGACCAAGTTATTTTGAACTGAAATTCTCAGAATCTTCTATTGGGAAGTAGATCCGTGTTTGGGCAGAATCTCAGGTCAAAATATCGCACTTCGAATTTTTTATGCCTCTCAGGGCTCGACCTTATTCAAAAATGTCGATCCCAACAGCTCTCGAACAGTTGAAAACGTTCTCTCGTTAGTCATGTTGACAATATTATAAATAAATAGCAAAGTAAAATAATAGTTAACATTGATAAATTTATTCTCAAGCTAATTCATAATTAAATTTAAAAGCAAATTAATCATTTCAGCGTTTTGTTTTTTATAATAATAATAATAATGCATTGGTTTTTGATTATAAGATACGTTTACGCGTGTACATAAAAAGAGAAAAAGAACCGTAGGATGAACACACCCATTGCACACTTTGCGAAAGACACAAGCAAGGGAAAAAACTAACTCATCATTCGACGTATAGTATCAACAAAGAATCGAGCCTTCGTTTACACATCGAACGATAATAATAATAATAATAATAATGATAATAAAAAAACCAAGAATAGATTTGAAAAGATATATATATATATATTTATTTATTGAGCATCATCACGTGCTGAGAAAAGTGATGTCACCGGCCATTGAACAAAACAAAACAAAAAGAACGCAAAGTGAGTTTAAACGAATACAAATTATGAATTTGTATTAATTAGTAATGTTAGTGGAGGTTCAGTTAGTGTTTGACGATGTTGAATTTTTTCTTCTTCAGTTAGTTCATCTTCATCGTCTAGTGAACTACTTGTATTATCGATTTCTTCCTTTATGTCTGCTACATTTGATGGAGAAATTCTAAAATAATACAAAAACAAAAAGCAAAGCTTGTAATTCTGATTATTTTAAATTAGAGAAAATTAACGAGAAGTGTTAGTCACACACACACACACACGCACAGTTAATATCTACCATATTTCTTTTACTGTTCTTATTATATAAGTTTCAAAGAGTCTATTGTTATATAGGTAAATTAATAAGAATTGCAACTTAAAAATCGGCTTACTTCGTTATAATCGGAGTAACATCGGGTGATGAATTTGATCGGCTACGCATCGTTTCTTCTACAATGCCCGCGTGTGAAACATGATTTTGTTTTGATGAACTAAATGAATTGATATTTCTAATAAAATTACAACTAGTCAATAAACAAGGTTTTTCTTCTATACTTTTCATTGAGTGCATCGAACGATTGCGATGATCTAGGTGGAGGAGTTGGCGGTTCATTTGATGTCGTAAACTGTACTGGCAGAGAATTTAACTGAGATAGAATTGGCGGTGGAGGTGGTGGTGCATGATAATATTTCTAGGAAAGAAAAGAAAATTTAAACAATCAAGTTTACTTGACATGACGATACTTACTACAGACGATCTTCGTCTATCATTTTCTTTATTTGATGTTCGACGTTGCATTGTACTTGGTTCGTGTTGAGTTGAAGACGTTGTTGATTGATTATTATTTATTAGATTTGCTGATAGAGATGAAGTGGATGGTGCCGAAGAAATCGAACCTGATCTATTCGTAAAGACACCAAATATTTTCGATATACGTCGTTTTTTTGTGGACACGGGTGATATGCGACCAGAACTTGAGCCAATACTTTCAGTTGTTGATTGTGTTGCTATACTAACAATACTGCCGCTTCGTGCATTGACACGTTGAAGTAAATGAGAAGTTGTATGTTCAGCTTCGGACGTCGTATCTAAGATTTGCCCGATAGATAAATTTTGCAGAAGTTTTTTAAACTCTTCTTGTCTTAAACGTTGTCTTTGTTCGGCTACGCGAAAACGTAAACTTGGCGATTCAGTAGCAGCAGTTATTGAATTGAGCAATAATGTAAGAAAATAATCACGAAATGATTCATCATATTTATATATTCCACCGGATGGTTCAACGGCTGATGTGAAGTCGTTACGATGCCAAATACCGATCTATAGAATTTTATAGAAAAACAAAAATTTGAAAAATTTTCTTTTTTTTCTCCTTTACTTTATAAAAAAGATCTTCATCGATTGTGTAAGGTTTTACTGTAATATAGATTTGTGTTACTTTGCCCGAAATATAGTCTGGTGTAAATTCTGTATCGGACTCTTGAAAAACAATGCAAACAAAAGAATTTCCTACAAGACTTTTTCGTTCGATACATTGGCCATTGGCTTTTGTTGATGGTATCTTCGGAGCCACATTAAACATAATTTCATGATTTTTATATTTTGTATAATATGATTCATCACCATGTAGATCATCTTTTACATCAAGATCACCGCGATACTTAGAAAAACCTTTTAAACGTACAATATCGGCAAGGCTATTTAAAAAACGCGACATTTCATCTGATAAACCATCATTACTAAAAATTTCATATTCATTTGTTTGTTCTGCGCCTTGATAAATAATACCAATTTTACAATTTTGTCTTTCATCATTTGTTTTATCGAATAAATAAATTTTTTCATTGGCCTATAAAATAAGATTGAGCATTATTCCAATCCATTTATTCATCTCACCTACTCACTTTTGGATCACCGATAGGTTTATAGGTATGTATACTTGGTAAATCTGCTTTATTAAATAATAGTTGAAGAATATTATCCTCATTTGTTCCATCGAGCATTACAGATACATCATAATTACGAGTGGAAGTACTACGAATACAAAAGCAAAACTCATTTAATAAGAGACAACCAAAAAACGAAAAAGGAATCTCTGCGGAATTAAAAAAATGTGAAGTACGATCTAATTGGTGTTGCTAATTGCCTAAAAAATTGTTTTTACTCGTGTATATGTCTATATCATGATTTACTTTGCAGTCTAGAAATTCAACAAAGAAATATTTTTTATCTACTCCAATCAGATTTTACGTAAATATGGTTTTCGATAGTCTCTTGAAATTTAGTGGCGAATCTGGAACCTAGACCATGACAGATGGGTCCGGAGCGTGTAGAACAGGCTTTTAATTTCTATCCAATATACTTCAAAACTCCTTTTAGACCGTGCTTCACAAAGTTTACACCTCGAAAGTGTATTTCACATTTCTATGAGGTCATGACTTGCATTAATATTTAAAGTAGATCATCTATTTTGCTACGTGCCTATCAGCATTGTTCGATGTTTTATTTTAATATTTTAGAATATGCTGAAATTATTTTTAAACGACGAAAATTGAAAAATGCTGTAGAAACTATTAATAAACCTGATGACGTAGTGAAGTGATTTTTCTCAAAGTGCTTTTTTCAGTCTACTAAATGAACAACAGCAGATGAATTTGACCTAATGATAGATTCTGTTTGAAAACAACAATAAATAGGTAATTATCGCTAATCGATTTGCGCTTCTTTCGTCGTTGTTCTCTTTTTCATTTTATAATTAACGAGCCGCGAACTGACGGATTATCTTCTTATGAGTCTCTGCTTTCACTCTTAGGCAACTTCAAGATTTGTATTCTCTCGTGCGATGCTAATTGATACCATTCACACATGATTAAATTCTAATTTTTTTCTTGCCAGCCACGTTTGTATATTTTTAACTTTTAACTCTATGGATCATTAATTTCGCTTAGTTTAATTCTAAATAAGGTCTTCTTTTTCCTCTCTTCTTATCATGTCAGGCTGTTCTCTCAGCGCAATGATTCATTTGTGTGTGTGTGTGCTAAAACTCTTGTATCAACATACCGAATAATAGCTCGAGCTTGGGAATGTGTAATAGTGTTGTCTATTGACGACGGTGCATTATTATTATTGACTACAATTGGTTTGTTATAAAAATATCGAAGTGACGCAATAAATGAACCGTCGTGTTCGAATTCACCACAATAATTGATATGAAACTAATTAGAAAAAAAAGGAAGAATTCAATAGAAAATGTTACGGTAGTTTTCAAAACTCACATATTCATAAAAATGTTCACGATAGATCTCGGCGATACATAATGATGTATGTAGTTCTAATGGTGGAGTTTCAGGTGCCCGCGTGGCAGACAGATTTGATTGAAGAGTAAATAGGGACGATAAAGACGATATTGATGATGTTGAATCTTCATGGACAGACGGCGATAAACGATCATTACTAACGGATAAACTTGTTCGTGCATTGCTCGGGAGTGTACTGAATGATTTCTATTAAAGAGAGCACAAAAGAAAAAAGACTTATAATTGGAATTCTGCAAATACTTGTTGTTCTATTATGTTTGAATTTTTTTGTTTTACTGACATTTATATTAAAACAATCGTATGGATCAAATGACATGATAGGAAAAAGTAATCTTTGATTTTTATTATTCGCTATTGCATGGCGAATGTGCATTGGAAGGATAAGAGAAAACGGCAAGGTGTGTAAAAAAAAACAATGTATCGTTTTTTATATATAAAACAATAAATTTTTTTCAAAAAGGCTTCTATTTTATTCAAATAATTGTTGATTTATGATCAAGGAATATAGAAGCACACAAAAAAGTATATGATCTTACTGTCTGCGAATGCTTTGAGTTAAAAGATAAATTCTTGTTAATTTTTTTACGACGAAATGATTTGACCATTTTATTTATTCCAATTAGCATATCTATTAAAGTGCACTTATTGTACTATATCTTGTATTTTTATTACACATTCATCTCTCTTATATATGCCTAGACGCCATATAAAATTATTATCCTTTTTTAATCATGTCGTGCAATGTATGAGAAGCATAAAAATAAAATTTGTCTATCAAGCATGACAATACATTCGACTCACCGAAGGTAAAGATTGTTCGGTTTTCATTATCATCATGTCGTTGTGATGTGGCGAATAGTTGTTGTTAAAAGTACTAGCAGGTGTATGTGTATCGTCTCTGCAACAAAAAGAAAAAGACGTTTCATAGTCATAAAGAAAATACTGAACTAACGACTAAGACACAAAAGCACCCGCATATGTTAGTTACAATGCACAAAAGTCAACTGCATCTGACGCGTTACTACTATACTGATAAGAGACACAAAGAAAAAAAAGTAAAGAATTGTTAGTTTTCTAATGAAAATGACGTTATTCAAACGACGACATCGTTATCATTATCATCATCTGCTTTTTATACCCATAGTGATGTTAACTTACTTTGATATGTTTTTATGGTGATGTTTTTTCGAACGAAAAGGATTGGGTAGTAAGGAGCCGAAACTAATTTGAGGCATTGAATTTCGTCGTCCAGAATGAATCACTTGATTTTGTTGTATTAAAGGCGATTTTAAATCGCTAAGTCGTCTATTACATTTAGTATTTATCTGTTTAAATGGTAACGATGATAATTCTGTAAGTAAATCACCAGACGATTCTTCGGACATCGACATTTTTCGATCTTTTGAAAGCGTTCGATTTTGACACTCTTTCAATGAATGCCTCGAATATGGATAGTTCTCTGCTTGTGATAACGATGATTTCAATGCTTTTTTACAATGAATTGACGCTGATGTCGAATCGATCGACATGATAAAGCCAAATAAGATCTTCTACAAACAAAAAAGAACAAGAAAATTATGGAAACATGTCTCTGACAAATAAGTAGAAGATTAAATCAGACTCTTTGCTGCATAGAAACGAAGAAAAATGTGTAAATGACAAAAAAAAAATGACGCTTCCTCTAGATTTTTTGCTGCATATATTAATGAAAAGAAAAAATATTAATTGATGCTGAACGCATCGTGTGCATACAAAAATAAAATTTTCAAGTGAACTCTATTTCATTCATTATGATAATTTGTTTTGCACCTTGCAACGTTTTCTATCACTTACCATTCATTTTTCGACGAGCCATTTTCATGAATACTCGTAATAGATTTTTTTACAAAGCTCTAATTACTATTTTAACACTAAAATGCTAAAAGAAAGCCTAAACAATTTTTACCCTTCTCGAAAAACAGCAAGAGAGAGACAGAAAAAAAGGCAAAGAACAAGCTGGCAGCGATATTTTTAATATATCAAATACTTTATTCTCGTATTTCTGACACTTGAAAAAAAGAAAACAAAAAGTAAAGCGTAGCTAAGAGTTCAATTCTACTTAATGTTCGTTTACCAATCGTTGATGATATATGCACACTATAAATAATGTTCTGCTTCAATGATTTCATTCTTTTCATGATGCATATGGCTCAGTAATCAAAATAGTAAATTACGTATGTTATAGGTGCATGCGCGAGTTTATAGGTATTTTGTATAGCAAAATATTTTAAAAATGTGATACTCCCATTTATTGCTGATTTTTGATACTAAGAAACTAAATATAGGCGAGAGCGTAGGTGTGAGAATATGATCATTCAACTAATGTTATTTTAAAGGCTCATCATAGGTAACATCGAAGTTAGATAAACATTTATCTTGATTTTTTTATCCAACAAAAAATCTATAAGTATCAATCATCATAACTTTTCCTTTCCGATTGCCGGTCACACTTAACTATCGAGATGACGTTATTGATTATGGTAACAGATTATTCATCTGATAACATTGCGGCTAAGATTCATAGAACAGTTTGAAGCCATATAGAACTTCTAGCATGTAAAAATCACTCTTACTGACCTGGTACTCCTTGTTGTATGCATGTATACATAGGCGGTGACAAATTGAATTGTTCGATTCGTTGAGAATTTAAAAACATCAACGGAAAAGAGTTTGCCCTTTTTTAAAACACTCCAATTGCGTTATTCCTTTCTTCAAGATTTTTTTTCTATGTTTTGTTCATGGTTATTATTTTTTTTATTTACATTACTTGTCAAGAACAGCCAAAAGGAGAAACGTGGTGGTATAGAGGAACTTGAAGAGTGTTAATTTTTTGTAACAATCCTGCGATAGTTTGCCTAGCTTCTCTTTCTGTTATTGATTCTTTTTAAGCTTGTGTGCATCTAAAATACGACATGGAAAAAAAAAGAAAGAACTAATAGCGAAGGAAGAGAGAAGATTTGCCTTATAAGAACTATGAATAGGCGTTAAAAGAAAATCGAATAAGGTGTAGGTGGCATTTGCACATAGAACTTCTCAATAATAATAATAATAATACCGTGAAAGTATATACAAGAACAAATAAAATATCTTGCTTGGAATTTCGTTTTACATATTTTTGTTGTTGTTGCAAAAATACATCAACACAATTCTCTACTCACGATGGCTATGTAGTTGATTGATGATCTTCTCTCCTCTTTTTTTTATACTACATGTAAATATAACCTTTCATCAATTCGATGAACTTTTGATTTTATCATCATTATCAAATAAAATAATAACATACCAGGAAAAGAAATCAACATCTATGCAATAGAAAATTTACCTTGCATATAAGATGACTGAACAAAATTATAAAAGAATATTGAAAAATATTCTTTTTTCCTTGATTAAAATAATCACTTTTATTGATGCAGTTCGATACGGATTTAATTAAAATCGTATGTGCAAAAAGAAAGCCTGCTACAAGGATATTCATCATTATCGGTTGGTCTTTTTTATCAACTGATGAGAAATAGGAATTATCAAAAACAAAAAAAAACTGATTTCGCATGGTTCAATGCCAGAAATTTTACCAATTCTAGACTTAATCTTCGATAAAAAAAAGCTATTAGTTAAATGTTTCGGATGAGATTCGCATATGAAACGAGCATAGTTGTACTACATGACACGTTGATATTTAAGATATAAATACAATTATATACGAGATCAATAACTGAAGTGGTGAAAACATTTTGTTTTTGTTGCGACGTAGAATGATACCTACGTTGTAATTATAACGTAGATGAATATTGCGGAGAATAAAAGTTTCTATAGGAGAAAAGAATAAAGATTTTCAAGCATAACTTTAATCGATGGCTCTGTTGAATAGCCTTGAAATATTGAGAGAAAACGATATGTTTATACGATTAACTGATCAAATTGACCTTGTAATATCGACCGGATCGTTTTTTCATGAATTATTTTCGAACGGGAATATTTTTTTGTTTTTTATTACTCTTTTCTGCCCAGATATGAAATCAAAATATGATTTAGCAGATTGACAGATTTAGAAGTTAAGTGCTAAGCCAATAAGAGAGATATCAAGTTTGATATGAAAAATAGATGGTCGAATACTTGGTAAATATTTTCCTATCATTCATGTATCGTCACTAGATTTGACAAAATCAATTAAATTGAATAAGGTGTGTGCTCGGGAATATGAGTAGTGAGTGGGAGGAGATTTTCGATAAGTATCAAACGTTCCGAAATTTATTTTTATTATACTTATTGCATAGTCTTGGCAAACGATTGAAAAGTTCCTAGACAAGATAGATTGACATTTTTGTGGTGTGCTAAAGAGTTTCGAACTCGGAATTTCCAAAAGGCTCTTATTCTTTATATTAACTATTGTTTTCTACTTGAAAGGCTGTGTTAGATGGTAGCGTGCTTTAATTAGATTCTTAATTGTCATGTCGAGACAAAGCACCACAAATTTAATAATCTCTCGAAAAATAATCGTCTAAAAATAGAAGTAACTTTTTATATAATAAAAAAAAGAAAACAATCATTGCCGTTGCTACTTACACTGTTAAAATGCCATCGACTGTGATCAAGCGTACTCAAGAATTGTTGACGTTATTCTACCAGACATGTTTGAGCCAAATATTTCTCAACAAAAAAGTGCCGGAAAGCACCAAAAAGAACTAAATTACATAGTACGATAAAACCCTAACCATAACATTATCATCACAATATGTATCATGAGTGTTCTTTGCTCTCTTTTTCTCTCTTGATCGTGCATGTTTTTTACTTATGAAGTATATTTTAAGATCCAATTAGGCTTAGAGAATGCGAAAATTCGATAATAATTTTCTTGCCAGCTATTTCATTAAAAATACCTGCTGCGTCTCCAATTTGACATTTTTTGTTTTTTTTATACTGCTTGATATGGGTTGGTTAATATTAAGAAAGAAAATCGTTCTAAGTAGGTCTTACAAAAAGAAAAGAACATATGATTTACTGTGTACTTTGAATCCGTAGAGTTTTTCTTCTGCATCAGGGACAAAAAAATATAATGAAGTCCAATAAAAGAGACTCGCTTAAAACATATATCCGACGGTAAAAACAATTTTCCGATCTCGCGATCATACATGACATATTTCGAACAAGTAACGCAGAAAATTGGAGCCATGGTACTTTCAATTTCATCAAAATAAAAATCCCATCTATGAGAATAATAATCGTTCATTATGCTCTGAAGCGTTCTCCTGTTGAAATCCTACAATGGGCGACATATGGAAACAAACACTTAACCAATTTTATCGGTGCCATTGTGAGAGCAATCTAATTTGTCTGCCATCCTATTGGAAATATGGTTTCTGTTTTTTTTTGTTAGGTATATAGAAATAAATATGTTTAAATTTTTCTACAAAAATCTCAACAGCAACAAAAAAAAAGAAGAAAAACAACCATAGATAAGTGGAGTGCGAAGAAAAAGAGATACAATTGAAGCGCTACCAATAATAACAATATGACAGAGATAAATAAAGGCATAAAGAGATGAAAAAACAATCATAACAATTCTTTGTTCGCGTAGAGTTACAATGCATAGGAAAAACAAGCTTCGTTGATCACTGTCACAACGCACGATTCGAGGATTAAATAAGACTACTGTTAACTAAAATAGAAATAAAACTTTCAAGTTCAAAATTAATAAATCATTCACCCGGAAAAAATCGTGTCTAGTGATAAATCCACATTCACAAAGGGAAACCGAATGTTGGTTTCTATGTGAGAACTTGCTTATTTTTCTTAATACTGTAGTGGTGGAGGGCGAAAAAACAATGTGCAAGTCTTCCAGTAGGAAGAATATCAAATTTGCCGCAACCAATTATGAGTACAGAGAAAAGTTTTTTTGTCGTCACCCCTGGATGTGACTACGTGCGTCATTTATAAATCTGTCAAAATCCTGCAGTTAGTATTGAAATATTATATCAAAACTGAGAATGACTGGGAAAACTAGTTTTTAAGTTTCTTGTTTGCGTCTATTCCCATGAACAGTCTTTAGGCACCTTTCAAATACCTTGACATGCCTCTAATCTTGAATGAACATATATAATCTACCGGTGCATATGTAGCATAGAATTTTACTCAAGGCGAGAACAACAGAGCATTCGGCAAGAAAAACTGTTCTGAATAAAAATAAATTTCCTGAAAATTTTTATGTAAACTCAGTTTTATTCGCACTCATAAACTAAACTCATTTTAAGGTTTCTCGTTCCTTGAAAAAAACTAATTTTTTATGAGAAGGGTGTATTCAATCACCGACGTGACTTCTATTTTTAGCAATTAATTTTGCGATGATTCTCTTCTCTAAAAGTATGCAATTACGCCACAAAAAGATTGGCTGATTTGAAAAAGAATGCTAAACTATAGTGCTCGTTTCCTGTTACATGAAAAATTACATATCTAAATTGATGGCTATTCTTAGGAAATTCTTTCGAATCATTGAACTTGTCAGCTTGTTTCTATGAAAGGAAATCAAGAGTTTTTGAAATAAATGCACCAGTCTCCCATGTCGGTTTAAATCAAATGCAAAATGGACTCTATAATATTTCTTGTAAATGCCAAATTTAGCACAAAGTAATTGAAGTATACGCTTTCTCGTTACAGAAATGACACTTCCTAAACGTTTTCCTGTGATTTGATTGCCGAGAAAAAGGTGTAAGGTATTCATAGATTATTAGAGTGTAGATAATGTCTAGCAGAGTAGACATTATCTATCATTAAATATAATTGTAATGCAAATGTCAATGTAAAGCGTGCGACGTGATGGGAACAAAAAACGACAAAAATAGTGTTTAAATAAAGCAATTTGAAAGACCCACATTATTATTATGTTTCTAACGACTGGCACTACGACGACGACGACGACGATGAAAAAATTTTCTAAACATATTTCCTATCGATAAAAGATTAGATTCATTTTTCATTCAAATCGCTTGTAGACTATTTGTTTGTATACCTGGACTTTTTGATTTATTTGATTGACATCTATTGAGTGTGGACGATCTGACTGTTCTTGATAATGAGTTATCAGCGGTATCCTTCGATTCTATTGCTGTAGCACTCGACTGATCATTAATAGTATTTGATTCAGGAATTTTTAAATGTAACCTTTAAGTTTTTGAAAATAAAACATACGAAAATAAAATTCCAATAAAAAGACATACGCATGGGAAAGTAATTCTGGTGGAAAGACTTTTCGTGGTGATCGATGTCCAATATTACTAAAATCTAATCTACTCATATCTTCAATAATCGATGGAGCAACATAAGTAAAACCCTAGGATTAAAAGCAAAGCTGTTACTATTAATTTTCTCGAAATGAATAAATACATACAAGAAAAACTTGATTAGCACTTTCACTTAGCATGTTATCATCGGGCGAATCGACAGGTGTTTGCTTAGTAAATTTTGTGTCAAATTGACTAACATCATCCTCACTTTTGAGAATCGGCTTATATGGGGGTTCATATCGTTTTGCGTATACTTCATTCCAATTTAAGTGGCCAAAAAATGAATGACTCTATAAATTTGAATTAAAAAAATAATCGAATAGAAATTTTGCTACTTTTATGGTTTCAGCATCTTCAGGTCCACTGCCAAGTCGATGACTGACTTGCCGGCGAAGTAGCTAAACAAAAAAAAAGAAGATGTTTTTATGTCATTCGATTATCGCACGATGAAAATACTATTTAAATTCTCCCGTCTCAAGTCGAACTTTATATAATTTTTGCTCGTTTTGTATTGTAATTCTTATTTCATTGCTTCAAATAAGAATTCAGTATTTTTCTTTTTAACGAGCAATTTATCCTTGGTTATTACTTTTAGATTATCACGTCTATTCGATCAACCTTGAGTCAATCACCGCGTCACAATGTATAGAAAATATTTTTCTTCTTCGACACAACACACTATCGACTTTGTCTTATAAAATCTTGATAATTAATAATCACAACTTACGTTTCGAATTAGTTCTCTTGCATCAATAGTTAAATATGCTGGCAAAATTAACTTTGCTTTTATTATTTTGTCCATCGTTCGTCGACGATCCTCGGCTGTGAATGGTGGCTGAATCAAATGTAACAAGATATTGAATGCTACTATTTGGAGAGAAAAAAAATTCAACGACATACAGCACCCGTTAGCATATCATACATCAATGCACCAAACGACCACCTAAGCAATAGCGAGAGAGGATAAAAAATTATAAACTTTTTCGTTTAAATTTTAATACAAACCAATCAACGGCTTTGCCATGACCACTCCGAGTTAAAATTTCTGGTGCCATATATTCAATCGTACCGCAGAATGTATTTGTTTGTCCACCATGATAGATAGATTCTTTACATAAACCGAAATCGGTTAGTTTTACATGACCTAAATAACTCAGATACTAGACAAAAAACAAAAGTTTACAATCAATACCTTGACCATCAAGTAATATATTTTCTGGTTTAAGATCTTAAATAAGACGAAATGTTTTTAGATCAGTTATCTCTGAAAATGCTCACCTCTAAAAAATAATTTTTAAATTTTAAATAGAAGTAGCAAAAACAAACCTGTAAATGATTCCTTCTTTATGTAAATGTTCGAGTCCAAGTAAGATTTCAGATAGATAGAAACTAGAAAATAATCAAATTCTTTTCTAAACTATTTATTGTAATTCAACAAATTAAAAGACAAGCAAGTTTTACTACAACATTTGTTTGTCTTATCTTATTAGAATTAAATTTTGATTACTAATCGATCTATTTGTATATAATAATAAAATGCTCGATTAGAATTGAGACTACGTGGTCGTGAAAAACAAAGCATACTTGAAATTGCGACGGTTTATAATCAAAAAATTGTTTGCAAAATCCATAGCATAACTTCACTTCGTTATGCTCTTTACTATTCAACATACGAACAAAAAACAACAACGTGAAACAGGGACTTTATTTTTCATCTGAATTTAAAATAGGCTCTTAACTCGATCAATCGAACATTCATTTCTATTCTCTTTCTCTCTCTCTCTCTCTCTCTCTCAATAAATAGAAGACAACATTATTCTTTTGTTAGACAATAAATTCACCTTTAGATTTTCCAAAAAGAAAACAAATTGACCTTAAAAAAATGATTCATTTGCAAAATAAAATTGTTTCTAATCTCAAAATAAATGAATTCTTACCAAGCCATATCATCGGAAAAAATTCCTTCACGTTCTAATTGCATAAATAATTCACCGCCTGATAGATATTCTAATATTAAATATAATTTTCCACCTGTTTGAAATGCATATATAAGATCAACAATAAATGGACACTGAAAAAATATATTGTTTGTTAATATCAAAACAAAGCGAAATCGAAATTTACTTTAACACATTCAAGAATATTTCTTTCAGCCTTTGTATGTGCAGTATCTTTTGCGTTACGAACGATTCTAGATAAATATTGAAGAAAATATGAATATTAATATACGAAATGATTCATGAACATACGTCGCTTTTTTCAAAACTTTCATGGCAAATATTTCACCTTGATGAGTACCAAATAATTTTTTTACTTGAAAAACTTTTCCATATCCCCCTTTTCCTAGCACTTTTAATAGTTGAAAATCATGAGGCGAAGTTTTTTCTCCGCGTGGATTAACTGTTCGTTCAGTTATTTGTACTGTTTCCATTTCGCTAAAAGCAAAACATGGAAAAAAGTTTAAAATTAGTATTTTTTTATTTCGTCGAGAGTTTACTTTGATTGTGATGGGTCAGCACCAGTATCATTATCAATAAAACGATTATCATCATCATCGTTATCATTCGATGACCTGCGATTTTCACCCATTTCTAATGAGAATAATGGTTCGTCTGCCATGGTTAATCTTGTTAAAACAAAGAATCAGCTTTTTTTTTATTGAATGCTATGCTTTTTTTGTATTCTCAATGCATATTTAAGCTTGTCTATTTGAAATTCGAATGCCTGGATATTTCGTTCTAGTATAGATAGTGGACTTGTCGTTCTATTGGCTGAATCTCTGATCAATCAAAAATTAAGGTGTCAATTTTTTATGTTTGAAATGTTAAAAATCGTTGTCATGACATTTAATTGAAAAATGGTGATGTAGTTTTTTTTTACTTGTTTTTAGTTTGATACAAATTATCGACGTAAGTATTATTGATGCGTTAAAAATAGTGCTTAAAAGTAAGTAAGATAGATACTAAAATTGATTGAGGTATATTTTTCAGTAGAACAGTAATAATTAGCTATTTCAATATCCAAAATATTTCCTGAACGCCTAAGTTTTTTCTTTAAAACGAAAAATTACGGCTTTCATTTGATTTCTATAAACATTTGTCACGTCGTGTAGGATACGTTAATGAAGAAAATTAGTTTTAAAAAAATATTATTAGCAGGAACGTTCTGATAGGCGTATGCGTATGAATGAACAAAATTTCTACTGATGTAAAATTTCATATTTATTTCGGTAGCAGTATAACATTAAAAATTAGAAATTAGGTATATCGAATGAAAATTGTTGAATACGTGGGCCCGCGCGTAAAGAGTTTCATATGTTGAGATTCCTTGGAGGTTTGATAATTATCTAAGCAGAAAAGACTTTTAGTCAATTATCTAATCACATTGCTTTTCTCTGTAACAATTCGTACAATAATAATTGAAAATTTAGCGAGGGGTTATCATAATTTTCATAGAAACTATCGATATTGAGAACAACGATAAGATATCATTGAAAGATTAGTCACACGTTAATAAATTCTTTCTCATCGATCCAATACCTAGTCGATGATCTGAGGTCATTCAGTAGAATAATTGAAAATGTCAAGTTTTTCCTGAAGAACTATTAGAATATCATCATTAATCGTTTAAAATTCTCATACGTATTTATCGTTTGATGTATAAGCTGCTAATCTTTCAATTGCATCACTTATCCTTGTTTTTCTTCCATGAAGTTTTTGACCCAGTGTACATATTTTTAGTGTGAGTCTATTTTATAACTGCAACAATAATAATAGTTTTGCACAACTGAGAATAAAAGACATAGAGCGCATAGGTCAACCACAACGATTAATAATAACTAAAGTGATTGATCTTTGTGAATTTAAAAAACGAAATGATATTTACAATGAAAATGATCGTAGTTAATCGCTGGATTTTAACCTAACACCATAAAGTAAATAGTTGCTAAGCAGAACCGTCACGTGTATAAATCTTCTTTTTTTCTGTTTATTGATCTCCTAAACCTCAAAATGACTAAAACACACCATCAATAATAAATCTTATATAACGCAAATTATAATAGGGCCTCACTATGTTCCTGACGAACTCATAACATGATCCTCTGTTTTCAGGCTGAGATTCTGAATAGCTAATATCAGCGATCTATCAGCTCTTGTGCGCATAAATAATATTCGATTTCATAGTCCATGAAAATAAACTTCCAGATTTGAATCTCCTAGAGATAAATTGGACTCGTTTTTCACGTGCTAAGATGAAAATCTCATTCGCATCAATCCATCAAAAATTTTTTATTCAACAATAATCTCTTCTTTCGGATTTTCTATTTGCCTTCATAATCTAGATAAGTTTAACCTTTCCTTCTTTCTTTATAATGAAAGGATGCATTTCAGCATGCAATCTCATTCCACATTCGCGACTTAGATTAGATTAAAATAAAAATAAAAATAAAAAGGACCCAAGTGTAGATAGATTGTTTTGCTCCTGCTCTCATCAATGGAAATGTTTTTGATGACAAAAATACAATAAATTATCTGATCCGCTTATAGAATGCTTCTAATGAATAATGCAAAAAAAAAAGAATTTCTATAGCAAATTGAATTTCCTTATTTTTATTCAAATGGAAACGCCTGTGCATTATCCGCTGTGTTTTTTTTTCAATGAAAACTAAATTTCTAACTGTAGAAAAGATTACAAAGACAAACCCCATAATTGGGCCAGTTGTTTTTAAAAACAATCAGCCCGAGACAAATACAGTTCAGAGAAACAAATGAATAGAAATGCACTACGAGTTTGAACTTTTTGAGAATTGAAAAATAATTCTTAGTTTGCAACATATAGATTAATCTCGATAGGGTGTTCAAAAATCTTGAAATCTGTCGATCCGCACTAGTGAGCTTAGTTGTATTGCACCGAAACATAACAGGCTATTTGGTATCTTGGAACTATCGAACTAAGAAAATTCGTCTTTGATTAATTGATTACTCTACTAGTTATTTAATATTGACCAAGAAAAATATATTTCATTATTCTTAATAATATTATCATGACAATATAATTATAAGTGTAACTTACTCTAGTCTTCCTTATTTGTGGTTTATTGTTAATTACGTTTTTTCGTGAAAAGAAGATTTCTATTGTACATATCACGATTTTTAAAGAAGACGAAGAACAAAAGATTTTAACTTATTTCCTATAGAAGTCTACACGTATTAATAAGGTTTATATTGATTAAATATATTTTTACAGAATTAAATTTTTAAATCTAAAGCTTCTTGCCGATAGAAATAAAGTCAAAACTAAGAAAAGATGTAATAGAATATTTCCGGTTTAAGACAAATATATATTTATGGCAAGTACGATTCTAGATGTACGATCGGGCACCACGAAATTTACATCTGGGAGTCGGCTGTACTCCGGATCATGTAGGACCTGGCACTTATGATCATCGACGAAAGAGATTCAATGAAGGTTAATAAGATTCTTTTTATTCAGAAGAGAAAGGCAGAGAAAAAAAACTTTGTTTCTTATAAACAGAAGGCTATGCTCCATTTTTATCACTTGCAAATCGTGGTGATGTATTTGGGAATGATGAAAATCCTGGACCAGGTCATTATGATGTACGCAATGCTCAAACAACAACAGTCAAAGTAAGATTTATTCGATTTTCTCTCTTGTAAGAAAAATAGTTTCGTCAATAAATTAAACTCGAATGAGCTTTTCTCCTTAGATTTTAGTAAATTCTAAGAATAGAATAAACTATACTTCTTTGTTTCTTTTATTTTTAAACTTTTAATTGAGCCTTTCCAGCTATGCGTAGGTCAAATGGAAGCTTTTAGCGTAATCGCCTATCGCAGATGCTTCAATAAGTATGAGAATAAAATTGAACATGTTGCTTTACTTAGATTTTTCTTTATTTTTAATACAAGATACAGAAAAAAAAAACTTCTTTTGTTTTTCTTATTCTGAGTCGCATAAACGTTCAACTGCTTTTGCTCGAACTTTGGAACGTTTTTCGTCACTCATAATTGGTTGAAGATCATGAAGCATTTCATCTGTCATAGCATAGGTTAACGCTTGACAATCAAGAAACGGTAAAAATGAATCAGGCGATTTGTAAACATTCAAATATTTCTCTGTAAATCGCTCTAATTCGTCATGCTTTTCGGGTGACCAATTAACATAATCACTGTCGGCATTGCCGAATTTCATACGAAATAATTCTTTATCGTCATTGCTAACATGTTTACTTTCTAGAAACATGGTTTTCAATAAAGGAAAATTCCATTCAACTGAATAATGAGGACTTTGTGTTGGTGTATGAGCCACAGTAAAAAATAATTTAAGTGGATTCAGACGGCGCATTGCACTTGCTGCTGGTTTAATAAATGTGACCATTGACGAAAGTGAATTTTCTGGTAGATTGCGTGGATTTCCATGAATATATGTAGCAAGCATCAATATAATTGATGAGATGATAATTGTTGGTTTAAGCATTGTTATTGAATGATGGAGCTAAGTCTTGTTTCTTTTTTATGTGTGTTAACAGTACTCACAGTAAAAGATAAGTGAAAAGAGAATGAATGTTAGTTATGCTTAAGACTTTTATGTCGTTTTGCGAAAGAGCGAAAGGAAAAGAGAGAATTAGATAGATAGAAAGAAAAAATGATATATTTATTCCTATACGTTCTTTTAAAAAAAAGGAACCTACGACAAATAAATTATTGTTATTAGATGTAGAAAAATTGCTGAAGCAAAAGATATTCACGAGCATATCTGCACAATATTTGTTTTAATATTTTAACTTGGTAGAATAAGCAACAGTGAACTTAAATATAGTTACGCTTTTGTATTATCAAGTGTCCTAAATAAATTTGACGTCTCACTTATTTCGACATGCATTTCTAGTAAAGACGAATGAATGCTCATACGTCTGTCAATGTTGTAATTTTTGAAATCATGCCCAATATTAATAACAGATTAAAAATAGATATTCTACGATTATATGAAGAATTTTTCGCAATATTAATCAATATTTATATAACGAATTCAAAAAACAAATTCCGTATTTAATTTAAAATCTAATATCAATAAAATTCTTTAGTTATATAGAAACATCTATATATACATTAATATCGTTTTCTTTCCTATCATTAATTCAGATCATATATACCAAAGAATAATGGAAGATGGTAATAAAAAAAATTATATGATGATTTAGCTACTTCTTGTTGATAGCTTCTCTGATTGTATGTTTTTATTATTTATTTCTATACTAAAAATAACTCTTTAGGCTATCATATATCACTATATTTGAATAGGGAGGAAGTACATTAGCTAATCGAGCCAGCCGTTTCAACAATAAACTATCTGAAGAGACACCAGGTATGAAAGATATGGTGACCTATTCAGAGAAAACAAAACAATACTAAAATCGTCTCTAGGGCCTGGTGCATATGAACTACGTAAAACTCAATCAGCTCGCTCAACTATAACTGATATTGTCAAAGCAAGTTTTTATTTCAAAAGCAAAAATGCAACATCTACTATTTTGTTTTTTCTTAAATTTAGCAACCACGTCCTAATGCATTTAAATATAATCGTAAATCTCTTCCACCATCGATACCCGATCCTAAATTAGCCTACGGCTTCGAAGAAGATGCCATGGGAACACTTGTACCACAACAAGCACCACAACGAGATGCTTCTATAGGTCCAGCATTTTATAGTCCACCAGCTACAGTTCGTTTTGTTTCTAGTGAAAACTAAATTTCTCTGTATTCGATTTCCATAGGTAGAAGTTGATGCATCGAAATTGTATCATGGTGTTCATTTCGGAAAATATTCTGGCAAACGTACAGAATTTACCGGTAAAACAGGCCCTGGACCTGGTGAATATGATCTTAATGATGGCGTAAAACTTGAAATTCATCATATTAACATGAAAACATGGGATAAAAGACCGGAATTACAAGTTGCACGATATCCTGATAATTTACTTAAAACAGCTACCAAAGAAGTAATTTTGTATAGCAATAAATATTTCAATTTTTTGATAAAAATCCTTTTATTTCCCTATTGAAATAGAGTATTCCAGGACCAGGTCAATATTCAATAAAACGTGAGCTCGATCCCGAACCACCCAAAGGTGATATTATTGGACTTGAATTTGAACGGCCAGGTTTTGGTTCACAAACTGAAGTAAATTTTCTCGATATCTAGATTCTTATTTTGGTTTTTTTCTTCTTCTCCTAGCGATTTAATGCAATTAAATCTGCAGTACCTGGTCCTGCAACTTATACAGATAAAGTAATGACAGCATTTAATGGTAGTCAATCGAAACCGACAAGTCTTAAACGAAATCCATTTAATCAAACATCAGCAAGATTCGTTAATCTTGATTATAAAGTAAGAAGTGCTCCTGGTCCTGGCCAATATCGTATACCGGGTTTTGCTGATGAAAATTTACGCAGAGCAGTCGTTGAAGGTGGAAAAAAACCACCGTTCAACATAGCTTCCGTAAGAAGATTAAACATGGCACGAAAAGATGAATACAATACACCTGGTATTTTCATAGTCTCACTTCTTGCATGAGTAATAAATTTTTTCCATTTATTTTCGTCTAGGTCCAAGTAGTTATGATATTAAAGTTAAGCCATTCAAAGCAAAACTTGATCATCCAACATCGAATTTTGTTTCAAGTACAACACGAGACGCTGTTGTTGAGGTAAATTCAATATTCTTAAGTCGTCTTCTCGCATTAGAACTGTTTTTTTTTCGTTTCAAAGGATATCCCAGGACCAACAGCTTATGACGTATCGCGTGCTTATCAAGCCCTTACATCTCAACATCGACAACCACCCCGTTCGAAACATGCTCGTAAACGACATGGACAATTTTTAAGTGCCGCTAAACGAACATTTGCTGGTGACTTATCAATTGATACACCTGGTCCTGGTGCTTACGATGGATTTATAAATGAACGGGCACGAGGTGCTGCACCTGTTCGAGATAGTCGTTTTCGTCATGAAATTTCTAAAGTACCAGGTCCTGCTGATTACGAAGTAAAATCCATAAATTTTAGTATTTTTATCTATTTCATTTGTTTTTCCTTTGTTCTCTAGTTATCACCACTCATGCAAGACACTGTTCTTCGTGGCACATTTAATTCAACATTAAACAATCCTATTTTAACCAAACTACAGAATCGTGCCTTGCGTGAGGAAAAATTAGCAGCTGCAGCCTTAAATTCTGCATCAATTACTCAACCAAACAGCGGTACAGATGGTATTGGAGAAGTAGCTGTTCACAGTTGACATAATTATAACGAATGATCATTTGCGTTCAATTTTTTTTTACTTTTATTTTGATGTATACAATAAATAAAGAAAAATAATAAACTTTTGTGTTTCTTTGAGATTTAACGTTCATTCGAAAAACAAAAGAAATATCCTCAGCACTGAACTTATCATTAAGAATGTACCGTTAAATAAAGGTAAGTAAGCACAACAACAAAAAATAACTAGTATCAGAAACATTAAAACTATCGGTGCATAAAAATAGCTAAAGGCTCAAATTATTCACGGCACATCACAAATGTAAAGATTTGTAAAGGTGTTTGTAAATTATTTTAATGGAAAAACAAAACTGAACTATCTGTCAGTTTCATGTATTTAATAGACGAGAAACAAACAAGGCAATGCTTTCAACATATTTAAAACAATACGGCCCTCTTGTCAATCTACGGAAAGAAGTTTTCATTTAGTAAAACTTCGTGAATGAGCTCTCGACGCAAGCACTTTGTTTTAGCAACCTTAAACTTTAAAATCATTATTAGACATTGAAAGTTTCTGTATGACCTAAAATAATCGTTCTACAAACTATGTAGACTTGCCTTTAATTTATTATCTTGGTAGAATTTTATAATTACTCCAATGAAAAAATATTTATAAGATAACTCAATGATATTATTCCTATAAAAGTTATCTGTTTAAAAGCTTTATTTCAGCTTTGGCTTCTCGATATTTTCTCTCGTAGTCATCATAGATCGACCAGTCTCAGAGGAACTCAACATAATCTTATATTTAAGCTTGCTATTGACACACGCACGAGGACTAAAATGAACACACATCGAACGGCGGATATTTATTTTAGTGCTATTCTCAGAAGAAAACTTGTAGGTAACGTTGGAAAACGGATCCTCATGAGGGAATATATCATGAATTGATAAGATTAATGTAATCTTAAAATATCTATTATTATTTTATCCGACACTGAAAATATAGCATTACTTGAATAATGGTCTTTCTTTTCTTTTTTTTTTCTATAATAAAATTCTATTGTTTAATACAGAAGAAATAAGTTATTAGGGAAATGTTTTGTTCATTTTGATTAACAAAGAAAGACGTTTCCAGGGCTCTTTAGTAGCACTACTCAAAAACATTTAAATTGTCTCTAGTAGAAAAAGAAAAGCATTGAAAGTTCAATTTCGATTGATACTTTTATAATTTCTTGTTCATTTATTTTCAATATATATTATGTCTTTGCAAATACGAATAAATTCACACATATACATATAAATGTATTACATTAGTTCATGTAAATAACATTAATAAACGTGAAAATAATCGAATAGAACAAAAACATAAACAAAAAACAATGCGAAAAACAGAGTAAATAACTGTCGGTCATACGTATATAAATGACTATTCTCTATTTTGACTTGGAAGTGAAATAGAAGAGAAACAAAAAATATATCTGACTGATTTATATTGTAAATCTATTTACGGAAGCCATTCTGACGGTGGCGGAGGTAAATTTGATGATGAAGGCGGCGGTGAATATTTACCATCGGATCCCGAGGAGTATACATCGGGCACACAAAATGATATCAAAGATGAACGCTGAAACATACCACTTGCATCCTCTAAAAGATTTAGTATTCATATCATTAAAAAGATTCTTTTTTTTTAAACTGAGCTATACTGAGGGTATTAGCATCTATAAAAAAAATGCGAAAACCTCAGATTTAAATCCGAGTGTTATGTGTACTTCAAAAGGTGATCAATCACCAATATTAATAGCTATCGAGTTCGGCTTTTTACCTTTCGATAGTCCTTTTGATTAGCTACAAAACCAGGCATTTGGAAAACCCCAAAACTACTGGTCATCTGAGACATATCTAGGCAATTTGGTTTCTCGATGCAGTTTTTGTGCATTTTGAGACCTTTTTCAGGCAATGTTTCGTTGGAAAACAACGATTTGGTTCAAAATTAATATCAGATTGAGAATCAGCGTTAAAAACTGAGTCAATTTATATATATATATTGTGAATAATTTTGAGAAAAATATTTTTTTTGAAAAAATCCCTGTATCCCTCCTCAGGGATGGTCTCGTCAAAAGTGGCAATTTTTTTGATAACTCAGCCATTACTTGACGGATCCTTCTCATCTTCGAACTCGGCCGAGATATTGATGAGATCATTCTGTGTACAAAATTTCATAATAATTGGATGAGGCTTTCAAAAGTTATCATGCCTACGGACGTACGGAAACACTGACCGATTCTAAAGTGTACTCACTTTTTGAGTACACAAAAGGTTCTGTTCTCATCTACATTCATTTCTACGACAATAAACGCCTGGAGATGTAGCTGTTCAAGGAACTGTGTACAAATAGAGTTTAACTGCAGGACACTGACGAATAGTCTGAAACCTGACAGCAATAATCATTAGGTGTATTATCTTATTCAAAAGAAAAGGGAGAAAATTAGAATTGATTTAGATTTCTTTGCATGACTTTCCTACGCTTGTTTGATTGCTATTGTTTGGCGTTCCAGCATATATTTTATCATCTTCTAGTCATTTATGAACTACTTAATGATTAAACTTCGAGAGTGTCGATGAAAAAGGATATAGAAAAAAGTTATCTACTTGTCACTAACAACAGTCGTTACAGTAGGCTTCTTTTTTTAGACCCATAGAAATTATGCCAGCAGATTTTTTATGTTCTATGAAAATAAGGCAACACTTAGATATAATCATGATATTTAGTGGATTTAATTAAATTTTTATTTGCCTTTTATGAATGTTGTTTGGCCGCCTCGTCGATACTTAGTAATCTGTATTTCTTATGTTTGCTTTTCGAAAAGAAATACGATATAACCCACGCAAAAAATTGATATATTCATTCTTTTCTCACCGTTTCTAGACTTTTGAAAAGTACACGACGTTTGATAAACAGGCAAAATATCTCTCGGTTTATTCCTGTTATCATAAAATTTCGTTGACCAAAAATAATATTGTTTTGTTTTAATCATTTGACGGTTATTAAATATAAATTGTTGCTGTTGTCGTATGCAATTCATCGTTTCGTACGATGAATTATTTGAATCGTGTTGAATTGAATACATCTTGAAAATAGCAACAGTGAAAAAGAAAAAAAATGAAGACACAATTTAAAAAGATCAATATAATTTCTATTTAATTTCTCGTGTGATATGATAAATGTTTATAAAAAATATGTATATGAACAAAACAAAATGAAATTACAAAAAAGAAAAAAATCATCACAGGGTCATTAACTCTTCAACAGGTGCTGTAGTCGAAGATGATGGTATCAAGTTTGAAATGGCAATTGTAACTGGAACATTGGTAGGTAGAGTTGACGATGATGATACAGGTATCGATGATAATTCTGTATTATTAACATTTAATGACTCTTGTATATCACTTCGAAATTGTGTTATATTTTGAGTGAAATTTTCTTTATTAGATTCTTTCAATGTACGATCGATACCTCTCATTAAATTATCTAATGCTGTGGATAAGATAGCTTGTTTAGCCTGAGTGTGACCATATAATAATTGTTGTTTTATTTCAGTAAAAAAATTATTTTCATTTAATAATATAAGACCAAGAAGAGGCTTTGATACAGTATAGATATTTCTAGAAAAAGAGACAAAAATCAAATTTAGATTTTTGTTCAGAGTAAGTTTTAACATGAGCGATGTGGTTCTTCAAAAATAAGAAAATTCTTATAATTTATCTCAAGTGTCAACATCCATACGATTGTTGTTAGAGGCCTTGTTGTTACGCATCTAATCGAGAATTTTTTGACGAGACACGAGCGCAATTTTAGCCTCGATAGAAATTCATGTGAAGAGTTTAGGAAAATATTATCTCAATAAGCATTTCAATTCAAATGATTGTAAGTTTTTATAGGAGGCATTATTTGAGCGGAGATTTCCATTTAGATCAAGCTCAATTGGATTTGCTCGTGTGTTAAAGTTACGACACATAAAAAATGATTTAATGAGAGTTAAGGCGTTTGTACGTAGAATTATCGATTTTTATCTTCATCTAAGCAAGACTTGCTCGAATTATTAAGTTTTAGCTAATTTAATATAGGCTAGGCGTCATACCGATCTTCGTAATGCTATTCAATTCTTTCCGATATCTCTGTCTTTTCTGAAAATATTCTTAAACTTCTCTCGGTGCGTAGCTCAATAGATGTCGTTTCTTACATCGCAAAATATCTTCTCTAGATTTTATAATAACTTACTTGCATTCTGAATATATAATTCCATTGAGTAAATTAACAAGTATTTGTCGAAATAAACCTTCGTATTCCTGAACGTTAGTCATTAGATTAGCAGATGCAATATGTTTTTTAGCCGATCGAAAAACATATGTTAGGAATGTATCCAAATAAACACAACATGCATTTTGTATCGTTTGTTCATGTGATAAAAGCCCTTCGCTGATTGTCTCAAGTATATAACCAAACAATGGTCCAGATAAGTTAGCTAGATAATCAATTTTTACAGTCGCGAATGTTTCAATTAGTGAAAAGTAAGCTAACGTTAATTTTGGATATGAAAATAGATGACTCTTTTTAACTGTTGTTAATATTGAAATAAATACTTGTAAAAAATTATCAAAGCATGGATCAGAATACAGTTGAAATACGCCAAAATTAACATAGTTACCTATAAAAAAAAAAGATGAAAATATTTGTTTCGACGTGCTCAAAGATTCAATTTCGCATTATATTCCTTGATGTCATAGCCCTAAGCGATGTGTGTTTTACACAAACAACAATCACAGTATGCCACGAGGCCGATATTAATTAGGAAAATAACGATCGCGTTTTCATTCAGCTCAGTAGTCATCTACGAATTTTTTGTTGAGTGAAACGATCAGGATTCAGAAATGAATTGACAGATATTCCGACACTATCGATCATATCTTTATTTATAATAGGACGGTTTCATAGGAAAAATATCTCTCAGTTCCTTTTACGGCTAACCAAGATCAGTCGAACAAATATAAACTCATTCAAACTTTATTTCCTTTCTCTTCTCATGCTCCTAAAACTAGACAGTAGATATTTTCTACGTCCTCCAGTTTTCTTTTTCTAATCATTCCATGTGCCCTACGAATAATACGCCGTGAATGAGACTGGAATCGACATTTTGTTTTTGATTTCTTACCCATTAAACATGTTTGAAGAATTTCTAGACAAGTTATAATTGGTTTCAGTTTTGATTTATAAAATAAATTTCCATCAGTTTCTGGTATTGTTGTATTAACATGTAAAAGTGTTTTCGTTTGAAATATATAAAGTAAATTAGATGTTTCACGAAATAATAAATAAGCGCTTGGTTTTGTTGAATCAAAACCTAAACGTTCCTGACGATTTGATGTTAATTCATGAAAAAACTTTAATATAGGATTATAAACATCTTTCCGATCGTAGAATACATAGGCAGCTTTGAGAAATAATGGTAAATACGACGGATATAACCAATTGAAAAATGAGTTATATGCTTGTTTAGATAATAGTGAGCTACATAAGCCACGAAGATCACGAGCAATACCAATAATTAGCGATTGAATTTCGTCCAATGATGCTGACGTTGGACTAAAATAGTATGAAAATCGATGTAGAAAATGTCAAAACGATTTACATAATCTTTTTCCGGGAACACAGGAGCTACCGTGATCGGGAAAAAATGGTCAATTCTTATGTTTTCAGGTACTTCAAAATCGCATAACTTTTCAGCCTTGCAGTAACCTGCAGGAACATCGAAAAGATACATAGGAGATTTTTACTGGCACCGCCTTGTTTGTTGACAAAATCTAAATTTCTGTACACTCTTCAACTTAATGGTAAGCAGATTCTATGAAAACTCTATAGTAAGCTAGTCAAGCACTTGTTCATCGGAGAATTCAATGTCATCAAATACTTCCTACGTATTAAATATCTTAACAGACTTTTTCGAAAAACGACTCGCTTATTCAAAAAATCCTCAATAGGACTCATTGCGTCTCTTTCATACTTCAACACACAATCGAGTTCCGCAACGAATCCTTATCAGAAATGATGGAATTTTCTTTTGACTTTCGTACTTAAATTGTATCATTGCTGCAAATTGTCCAGGATTCAATGATGAAAAATCTGGAAATTCTTTGAATATTTGAACTAATCTTGTACAATGATTTGTAAACGGTGACATAAACGCTTCTATGCGATCGTCATCATCATCATCGTCGTAACGAAATTCATAGACTAACATACGTCCAACAGCCGAATAAAATGTTGTTCGTAAACACGACCAACTACTAACAGTTAAATTACTGTTTTGAGGATGATTTAATGTTGATGTTGGATGAAGAAATGGAAAAAGATCTTGTGTATGATTATTTATAAAGTATTGTATCGGATCAAGTTTGACTAATTTACGAACACTTTGATATCCATGAGTAAGATCATTAAAACATCCCACAGTTCGTTCAATTAATTTATCTGTTATTATCGAATATTGTAAATTAGTGAAAAGCTTTTTAACAAAGATTGATAACAATTGTTCTTCATCAGCAATACCTAAATAAGAAAAATGCTTTCTTTCATGAGATCAACTTTTCCTAGGGTTAAATGATCGGATTCACATTTTTCTTAAATATAGAAATTTTGATTGGTTATTCGTCACTGAGGATTTTTCGCATCAAATCATGAATTGATGAGAAAAAAAACCTTGAAATTTACTTGTATAGACTACTCGGCTTTTCGAACTTCTTTTTTTATTTAAAATAAATAAACATACAAAATGTAAACAGGAATGCTGCAATAGTAAACTTCAAGGTTACCATAACTTCTGCATCAAGGTATTGTATTGACTATCGAATTTCGTTATTGAAAGAGTGTGATCCAGTGCTATTCGATATTCTGCATAAAAGAAAAAGCACAGAATTTTTTTTACCACCAGAGATTTCTACGAAGAGAACATCTGTGTTGTATCAATAGTCTCTCGAGAATAGGTTTCTCTGAATGTCAAAGTGACTCCTATTAGAATTTCTTGTTTTTTAAAGTTTATTACCGAGATGTTTAAATAGCACTTGATAGATTTTATTCGATCGTCCATAATCACCAATATATTGTCGACGAAATTGCTCGAAAAAAAAGAGAATAGCTAATTCTAATCTTTCAGAATAAGGCGCGGAATTTATTTTATCTGCCGATGTTGTTATTGCTGTATTAATAGGTTTTTGGTTATTTTCTCCCGATGTTTTCTGTTGTATATACGTCATTAATTGTAATACACGTACAACTAATTCACCATCAAATAAATCTTGATCATCACTCGATATTGACAATGATGATAATGTTATGCCACGTGAACCAATAACACATCCAAGAACATAGATGAGGAATGTAAAACGTCGTTCGATTGTGTCCGAATTATTGCTCTAAATAAATCAATCTATTAATCGTAAGACAGAGAGTTTTCTATTTTACTTGTTGATACTGTTGAGCAATGTCGTCAAAATAATTACATAGGAGTGCACATATTTTACTATAATCTAATCTAGACATGACACTAATCATTTCTAATTGTTGTTGTAATACAGTTTGATCGTTTTCAAATAACTCAACATAAAGACCATCATCAGTATTAATTGCATCTAAACGTGATTGAATATAATAACATACTATTTGTGGAACATAAATATCAAGTAAATGCGGCGTAGAGGACTCGTCTGAGTCGGATAATTTTGATATATGCGATAAATATGCACATATTTTCGACCAATAAGATAATATATAATGAAGAGTATTCGGTGATAAATGATACGAACGATGATGATGAACACTTAATAAATGATCAATCGTAAAACGAAATAATCTTTCAGTAAATAATGGATAATTATCAATACGTATTAATTCATGTAATTGTGCATTGGATTTTAAACGGCCAATTAAACGACAGAATTCATGCAGCGATTTTTCATCGGTTAGAAGACCGCCAGGTTGTTCAATTATTAATCGAATACCTATTTTTACAAAAACACACGAATCAATAATTTATATATTATAACGACAAAAATAACTAGACTAATTTTTTACCTTTTTGGGGGCGCGGCCGTTCCTCCCCTAGAGTTTACTGGGTACGATTCTGAGTTTAGGTTCGAATCCGATAGAATCTACTCTCCGCTCCATACTAGACAACAAATTCAAGTATGCTATTGTATTCTCTGTTGATAAAATACATATGTAGTCAGGAAACTCTACTGAAAAATCCCTTCGACACCCTCAAGATTTACTGCCGAATAAATCAACAAGTTAAAGATTCTTACCGTATGTGATTATATTTAGGACGCTGAGACGTTCATTCCCGTTTAATAATGATCTTCGTACACTGGATAATTGAACAAGACAAGATAATGCTAGTGGAACCAGTGTTGTATTGGAAAAAAGAAAATAATATGAAAAGCATAATTGATAAAAACTTCCGTCGACAATAAGATCGTGCCATGCAAGAGGAACTTGTAATGTTTGATGTTCATCAGATATATCAACATCGTGAATAGTTGAGCCAGTACCTAAAAATAGAAATGAATTCTTTATGCCGTTGAGCTTTAATGAGAACTCTTCAGATAAAAAACTCGACTAAATGTTTACAAAACCAATCTTTAGCTATATTAATATTATAATTATTCGATTTTTTTCATTAGAAAATATTCTGGAGTTTATATTTCAACTTTCTTCACAATTGCGTCATGTATATTTACCGAGAAAATCATATGTTAGACATCCTAAACCTAATGAAAGTAGTTTTTCCACAACAATATAATAATCCGGTTGTAATTGAACACTATGAATTGTTTTTGGATATTCACTAAAATCGATCGACAATCCCAGTGATTTCTTTTGATTTACAATAACATCACGTAGATATTGCCCAGCAAATGAATAGATATCAATTAATTTTATATCTCGAAATGATATGCAAATTTTTCGATGTTTAGTAAATGCTCGTGCTGTTATTTCTTCATCATTGGGTACACTCATTTCTGTTAGAACGGCTACTAAGATTTGTAGAGCAACTGAAAAATGACTTGGATCAATTTGAAATTTAAGTAAATCATCTGTAAATGTTTGGAATGGATAATTTTCAGTATTTATGTTTGGATTTAAATCGAACCAAGAATGTTTTGTTAAACGTGCATATAATTTCACTAATTCCGCTAATACAAATGGAGCTAATGAACTATTACGTTTATATAAATATTCAAGGATGTAAGTACGCAATTCATAACGTTCAGTAAATGAAACTAATGATTGATTTGATATTGAATTAAAATATTTAATTAATGTTGTAGCACCAAAAAATTGAGTATAGGGAGTTAGAGCTCGATCAAGTAATAAACGACATTGAGATAAGCAATTTGCTTGATTAACAAAGTTTTCAAGACGTTGAGAAACTGTACGTATTTGATCATTATTGCCACTACCACTATATAGTTGACTACATAAATGTTCTATTTCAAGAGCATCCATTGATCAATAGATTTCACAAAATGCTTGACAAAATTTTTGTTCGATAACGGAGCAAGAAAAAATAACAGGATATTGGATCAAATGTGATAAACGATATTTAACGAATAGAATGAAGGGCAAAGAATAAAATCAAAAAATGAATTATTTGTAATTTATTACCTACTAAATTTCAATTGAAAGATAATTTTCTAGCATTTTTACTTCAATAAATAGATGTCGCTAATCTCCAGATATTCACTATACATACAAGTCAGCTTTTACACCATCAATTATTAGTTTACTTAAGGCTTCCTTAGATTTGTTGCAACCGAAAAATGTTTTTTTTTCTTTATAATTGTGCAAGTCAACACGAACTGTTTTTTCATATATAAGTAGATATAATTTAAATAATATTTGTATATTGAAGAAGGAAAACACAGAAAGGATTTAAATTTTTTATTATTATTGAAATCAACAAGAAGGAAATATTATAAATAGTATAAGAAAAAGAAGAAAACGGAGATAAAGAATTTAAGCGAAGAAAAATTAGTTAAGAGTAGGGGAAAAAGGAACTTTATATTGAATTGAATATGGATAATAAACGCTAGGCATTTCAAATTGTCTTTATCAAGCGAGCGATGAATAATAAATAGATAGATAGAATGCATATCCCAGGAGAATCGCGGTCCGTCGGATCTTGTCGGACGGCTTTTAAATCCGTTCATACCCGGTCATCGGATCCCGTCGGGACGTTTCCGCCAGAATCCGATCATATTCGTCATTTTTCTTTCATATTCGGTTACCGGATTCCATCCATTCCGACCGGACTCGTGTAGCCAGAACCTATCGGATCCGATGTCCGGATCTCGCCAGATCTGACGTGATTCGGGATTATCTGGTACCAAGAATATAGCGGAATTAATCGTTCGAGATAATCCCAAAATCCAATT